ATGGTTGGACACTTCAGACGCTCCTGAAGCCTGGAGTGACCGCTGCCCGGGTTGAGCATGGAGCAGGAGCTGAGTATGGGTCTGTCTCTTTGGGCTATTGTGGCCATTGTTTGTAACTCCGTAGTGGGCCTGCTCATCCTCATCCTCTTTGTGGTGCTCTACAAAGCCTGCAAGGTGCCTTCACATCAAGACAAAATGCCAGTTTTTGCTGTCAGACTGGATCAGACAAGGGCAGAGGAGAAGTACATGCTGACTGCAGCCTGACCGAGGCCCTGAAATATGAACTTGATACAAGGATAAACGTCAAGCTAGGATGGTAGAGGTGGAGAAGCCTCCCCAAGCTTTTCTGTTTCCTCTCTCTCCATTTGCGCTACAAAACCGGGTACAATGCACCGCCATCATCCCCATCTTGTCTGTACCATTCGGGGGAGCTCAGAGTAAGCTAACTGAGTTAAGATTCGAGGCAAGACCAACAGCAACAACAACAGGCAAGGCCCAAATCCTCTTATCTCTGCTGTGCGTCGCTGGGACTGTCCATCTGTCAGTCAGTTTGGCTCGCTCCACACAAGCAGATCGCCATCTCCTCCTCCTCTACGCCAGTCTTTTTCATCTCGTCACGCAGGACGGCGGCGAGGATGTGGAGGCGAAACTGCGAAAGTGCAATGAAGTGGAATAGAGGAGATGGGGTTGATAGGGCTGGCTGGTTGAAAAGCAATGACATTTTTTTGAGAGTGAACGTTAAAAATGTGACTCCCCAGTCAGTTTTGCTGTTTATTTTAGCTGCACCGCTAATGATGGAAGCAACAGAGCAGCAAATGCACAACAGGTAGAGACCCACGGCTTAAAGTGGGAGACAGGGAGCACAGAGACGTTGCTGCAGGTTGTCTCTGATCCACGACAGATGGAGATAAAGTTTGGTTTATATTTTGGAGGAAAGGAGATCAAATTCAGGGGAAGAATTGGAAATAGGACACTTTGATGTTTTGTTGATGGAAAAAGGAGCTCGAGGGCCCTGTTTGACAGTCTCTCCCTGATCCAACCCCCAGTGGATTAAAATCCTCTGCAGAAGTGCAACTTACAACACCGTTTCTTTTGTTCTTCCTCCTTTTTCCTCCTCAGCTGTGCCTTCCTCCTTTTTCCTCCTCAGCTCCGATGAAGGCAGAGGAATATTCTTACAGACAGGCATCATCAGTGTTGACTGGAATAAAACTCACTTTTACATGAAAATATTATTTCTGTTGTAACAAGCCTCCTGAGAAACACCCAGCATTTACAGTAGAGTATTTGTTTACCTTGTAAAACAGGTGTTGTGTTGATACATCAAAGGCCTCAGTCGAGATATGCGAAACGTAACCTCACATAAACTTTCATGGATGGGGAAATGAATGTGAAACTTATACGGGATGGGTAGTAGCAAGATTTGTTCAAATTATTAACAATACTGAAACCATTCTGGTAACATTTAGAACTCACTTTCCAAATGCTTTGTATGAAAGCATCTGATCTTTCCCAAGAACATTAATTACTTTTTTAATCTGCTGGTGAATCAAAAGTTCAAAGCCATACTACTTGTCAGCTTGCAATACTGTACATATTTTTTTTTATTTTTAGTTTTACGTGAATGAATAAAGGTAAAATAAAAGAAAAGAGTCTTTTGGTTTTTTTGCATGTCTTTATATTTGTCTTTATTGATTGTAAGTTACTGACACCATCTGCATCTGGTGTCATAGCTTCATTTTTCAGTGTTATAGAAAGTTGTTGCCCCCTTACTGACACTCTGACATATTAATAACTATTCAAAATGCACTGTTGATGATTTCTCTTATTAGGCAACAAACTCAAATAACAGTGTGGTTTCCTTATCTGGGAACACCAGCCATCAAGCCATGTTTGAATTGACTAAACTTCTTCTAAACACAACTTTACAAATTTCAGCCACGCCTCTATGAACTTTAATTTGTGTGTATTTTGGAGGCATTACGCAGATGTGTGTTGGAACTTTGTCTTGCAACAATAACAGGCATGGCTGCACTTGCATTCATCAACTGATGGTCTGATATTGTATTTCTTTTTTTGTTGTTTTCTTGAATGCATGGCTCTGTTAATGACAGCAGTCTGAAAATTTAAATATAGATTTAGATTAAGATGTTTTTATGTGGACTTTTATCCTCGGACTGATGACCAGAAGTTTGTTCTCTGAACGTTTCCCTTGAATGACATTTTTGTCAGTTCTGTTTCTTTTTCTGGAACAAAGATCTCTGAGCTTAAGGAGTCACCTAGATTTTGTCCTGAGTTATTTTGTGACCTTGTGGATTTCAAAAGTGTGCGCTCATGGACTCATTTTGGTAGAGCAGCTTGTCCTGGTAGGATTCTCCACTGCTCCATGTTTCTGAAGAGATTAATATGATTAATCACAATTAATTAATTTCACAAGGGGATGGACACTTTTTCACATAGGCTCAGTTAGATTTAGATTTATTTTCTTTAAAAAAATTAATTTGGTAGTCTCATATTAACTTTGTTTAACATAAAAAAAATTAAGATTGATCTAAAGGATTCAAATGTGACAAAAAAAATAGAAAACTTCTGGATTGGCAGACACTTTATTCACCGTTCAATATGTTGCCTTTAAAGTCTTTGCCCTTTGGATGAACAATGGGGTCTGAACTAAAATAAAAGCTGACCTCATGCTGCCTCCTGCACTGAGATAATCAATGTTCAACACACTGCTTGGAACCGTGACCCACTTCCTGTTGTTAATCAAGCAGAAACCCATAATCCTTATCTTGTAACCACAACCCAGAGTCGTTCTAATGGTTTTGCGAATATAAATGGCTTATATCTTCTTACTGACAATTAACATCATCCTACAGATGGCGCAATAATTTAATTCAGCGTGTGTCCAAATATAATAACAGGAAATTTGAAAGATATCTGTGCCCATGGGCATTCAACAATAATAGTTGATTGTTGTAGGCACTTTGAATTTCATATCATCATTTGCTCTTCTGCTTTAGGTTTGCTTAGTCAAGAGAGATTTTTGAATATGGTGTTGATTTAGACAAAAACACCCAGTTGATATACAAACATTCCTATAGTCAAATAAGTCAAATCATGCAGATATATATACATATATTCCAGTTAGAATTCAACCAGTTACAAATTAATTCAATTTATTAAGCCAATTAGTTGATTGCATCCAGTTACTGAAGTTGTGGGATTTCTTCCATCTAGCGACAGTGAACAGTTGAATTATTTATATTGCAGCTGTTTAGGATATTTTTTTGCGTTTTGATAAAGGGCGATACACTGAATCAATCAGAGAAAGATGCATTTGTCTTTAGATATTTTATTTAAAAAAATTGTCTCAGTGTGTGAGACAAATTGTGAGAGAAGGAAAAGTGAAACTTAACACATACAATTCTCCTTTTAAATCTTTTTAGTCACGTACACAGTGCCTTCCACCCAGCTCTCTCCTGTAGGGAGTTTCTTCTCTCGGTTTCTTCCGTCTCTGGATAATTTGTACCTCTGTCCCTAAATCAAACTCGATTCAAAGGAGTTTCAGTGGAAAGGAGGAGAAAAACATCTCTGAAACCCCCGTTACCAGTACATTCTTCCCTGTAAATAAAGCCAAGGTTTTATTTTCTAAGACACAGCTCACAAAGCGGCAACAATATGAGGAAAAACGTATTTTTAATGAGAATAAGCCTACGTCAGAGTGAAGGAAAATCTGCCAACTGGGCATCTGAGTTTATCTTGAAAAGTTCACACAACCAGAACAGATTTGTTTTTGGTAGTTACACCAGTTATCATGTAACATGGTTACTTACTGCTACTGTCAGTACTAGAACATTTTAAAAAAGCTGAGTGGAGTACAGTCTTGTGTGAAACAGGTTGGGTTGGGACTTCTTGTGGTTTACCTTTTTTAGTTAAATTACTATTTTAATCTTCTTCAATTATATAAAAACCAGTGTTTTCAAACCTTTAAATCTGAGCATTCTTAATTATTTTCAGATAGTGAAACTGCAACATTTATGACCAGAATAAGACATTGAATCAATAAAAGATATTATTGCAGAAATTTGGGTTTAATTAAAAAAAAGTGTATTTCAAACCTGCTCAAAAGTTAGTTTCAAAAGGTATTTTTAATTAGACAAGCAGGCAAAATGTGTATATTCTGATAATAAATGCATTTAATATAAGGAGAAAAGAGTAAAATGTAAGAATTTTCTTTTCTCACATGAGGCTTGTGTGTGTGATGTGTGAAAAAACATTGTGCTTTGTTTCACCTTGTTAAAGATGTAAGTCATGGGCTCTCTGTGGATGTATTCATAATATCTTTCATCTCTATACACACAATTCTTCCACAAAATATGGACGAGCCATCCAATCGTAAGTTATTTCCTTATATTCCACAAGGTGGCGCTACATGTTGAAAAATCAGATAAAATGCATACTTTAACATTTTTCACCTTATGTTGTTTGACATCTGTTGCTCTTCTGAAATATGCAAATCAAAGCTAATCTTTATAACTTACTCTAGATTTATCCTAGGTTTCATCAGAAGATTAAAAATGACCAGAGATTCACAGGGATGAATGTGGGAAGGAAAATGTGGGGGTAAAAACTCTTTGCCGTCCAGCATATGCTGGATTTTTTCTGGTAGGCCTTCCAGATGGAGAGAATTACACACACCTCCAATTTGCACATGCAGGTTGCTGGTTAGCCAAGTGAAATTGTGAGTTTTTTGTGTTACAGTTCCAATGCAACATGTTTTTGTCACAACGTCAAAAAGAACCATGGCACTATATGTAGCAATAAGCGGAAGAGGAGGAGAAAGAAAAAAACAAAATTCCAGATTCATCAGGCTTATTTTACTCTTAAAATAACTGATATAAGACATTTTTTCTGGCTTCAGAGCCTTACTGCACGCAGTTCAAAGTAATATGTAAAAAAAAAAAAATCCAAACATGTTGGATTTTGGGTACTTGATTCCTTCTGATTGTTCGCATTGAGATTTGCTAACAAAGTGTTGTTACAACAACATGATCTGATCTGCATCTTTATATGTATCCTCAAACACAGTAAGGCTAAAACTAATGGTGGATATGCAGAAACCACTTACATGCACATCTTTAACATACTTAACAAAAGTCCACAGTTGTGATAAAACCATTGCAGATTGCATACCGATGGCAACGGTACTGATTTAAAATAAAGACCTGCGTCATGTTTGTTCACAGCAATTACATTGCATTAGCTGTGCCTCCGGCGAACCTGCATTTGAGAAAACAAAGAATGTGATACCATAATGTATTATCACACTGTTTTACGTGTGTGATAAACAGGGTTTATAGCTCAGACTGGGTGAAACAGATGGTGTGAGCTTTTCCTGGGTTGTTCATTGGAAACTGCTCATCAGACAGGCAGCTGCACAGCTGACTGTCTGCTTGTCTTTTATTTATCTTCTTGACAGTCACTCTCTTGATCTTCGTCTCTTTGGCAGCCTTTCTCTGTTTCTCTGTTCCCAGCTACCGCCCAGCAGAGCCAAATTCATGGAAACCGGCCACCGCCGATTCAGAGATGTTATCGGCCGGAAGGGAGATGTGAAGGTCAGCGCATGCAGTGCAGGAACTACTGCATTCTCCTATTATTCAAATAAAATCTTCTATAAACAATGAAAACAGTTGTTATGAGCATGTAAACCAGTGTGGTATCTGCCCTCCTAACTACTATCTTTCGATAGATCTATCCATGGACATTACGTGATCATTTGTAAGAAATAAATTATGGCTTTTGGAATCCGTCATACTTGCTCTGATTGTTGTTGGGAACTGTTGTTAGATTAATGAACTGAATTGCATTCAGTTGTGAGCTGCAAATTCTCCCTGTATCCCTGTGGCATTTGATATGGAAGCATATCCCTACGTTCAGCATGATGTTATATAATGAAAGGGACATTACAAAGAGATTACTAATAGATGTACGAGGAGACAGTAATCTAAAACTCAACCCTCACTGCTGCCGGTTGCATAACACACATCAGGCTCAACATCTGTCATCAGCACTGTTAGTCTCTGCCACTGTGTGACTGTGGCGGTGTGTTTTAATGTGATCACCAGAGGATCAGATGCCAATATTTGTTTTTTGAACCCCAGAAATGGAACTGATTGCTTTATTTTTTATGTCTTATGTAATATACGATTAATATATGATTGTTATTTATTGTCTCCTAATGACACATCTCAGGTGCGTTTGGCTTGAATAGGCTACCTTGAAAAGCTATTCATACCCATTGAACTTTTAAATATTTTCTTGTGTTACAAACACATATTTTTGTATGTTATTTGGAATTAATTATTGACCATAAAAAAACAGTGGCGTTTTAATAGCTGGAACGAAAATCAATTATGGTGTGAACAATTTTACAAAAAAAAAACTTTGAAAAAAAATGTGATGTAACTTTATATTTACTCTCTTTAAGTCAAAACTTGGATCATCTTTTGGTGCATCGCAGCAGAAAGTCTTCCAAGGTATTTCTGCAATTTTGCGCAACAAGTGATTACCATTTCTTTGATTTTTGAACAGCAAAGTCTTGCCACAGTTTCTCTCTTGGATATAAGTTTGAACTCTGGAATAGTCTTAAACAAAAACTGGCTTTAATGCAAACAATTTCAATGTTGCTTAGACTGTATGTTTAAGGTGTTTTGCCTGCTGGAAGGTGAGCCTCCACTCCAGATATAATGAAGTCAGTCAAATTTTCTTTCAGGACTGTTCTGCATTTAGTGCTTTTCATATTTCCTGCCTGTATGCAGATGTCATGAGGTTGTATGTATGTCTTGTGTGAACGCAGAACCTTTATTCACATGTCCGATGGCTCCCTGACATAGAATGTAGGAGACCCCAAACAGAATTTATGGTTTTCCTTTTTGCCAGAGTTTCATGATGATTTGGTTTGGACTAATAATTGCTGTTTTTTTTTTATCAATGCTCGTTTTACCTGGCCTATTTATGTGAATGTGTATGTTTTCAGTTTTCATTTGTGTCATTCTCTATGATTCTATTTGTTTTCTGCTGTTCTCTAACGAGCCTCTGAGGCCTTCTTGATTGATACTGAAAATAAATTACACACAGCTGTACAATTATTCGCTTTACACATTATGTTTCCCAAAAATTGCAAAAATCCTGAATTCCTTCCTCTTTGCGATCATATCCCAGTAAAAATCCCAGTGAAAGACACCGAAAGCTATGATAGCAAGGTCAAAATATGTGGAACGATTCAGGAGGCATGAATGCATTTGCATTTCTCATGTGGGTATCTACATTTCTTTCTTAAGTGTGTGAAAATTGAATCGGAATGCTCTAATCTCTTCTAGCAGGAAAAAATAAATAAAAAATCCGCAATGGCACAAACCCAAGCACCCATCCAATAAATGTGTTTTGACAGCAATTCTGTTTTAACATTGAAATAACTGTAATTTACTATGAATGACCATTTTGTCTGCAGAGGTCTAATTATAGCATATAATAAGCTTGAGTAAAAGGGTGATGGGAAAAGCATCAGCATGCAAAACATGGTGAAATCATGGGGACATGGTGAGTGTGTGAATGTGACAGACTAGCAGGAGAATGCGAAAACTACACCCGTTTTGGTTTGCAAATTCACATTTCCATTATTTCACTAAATTCCACATGATTTGCCTGAGTTTCACATTTGTCAAACATACAAAACTTGACACAAAAGCATATAAGATAGTCAGATCTAATGCAACGAGGAGCTGCTAGAACTTAGGCTTCGGGCTGATTGGATTTAGCAGGCTGAAATGCAGAGACCCGCTCGACCCTGCCGTACATTTTTTTTTTTTTTTTGAAATTCAACTTGTACGCCACCTGCAGACCCTGTCTTCCACAGTGTAATACTGCCACCTGCTGGTTCAATTGGAGACTGCAGGCGTTGACTGCTGCAGCGCCAGGATCCTGGTGCTGTGGAGCATGCTGCTGCTGCTCTCTGCTGGTGTTTCTGGGTTGGGAAGACATGAAGTCAGAAGAGTCAGTGTGAAAATTGACCCAGGGATACGTTTTTGGTTCGACTGACACATTTCACAAGAGAAGGATTCAGATTGTCTATTTGAATTATAAAGCAAAAAAAAAAAAAAAAAAATACTAAAGCAAAATGAAATTCACAGTGTTTACTTTTGTCTTAATATGTGACAGTTAAGGTGTCTTGCTAATGAAATCATACCTCTTGAACCCTTTTGCGCTGCTTTGTTAAAACCGTAAATATCAATGTAAAAAAAAAAAAAGACCCAAACAAACTAGTGTGTAATAAGCAAAGAGGATTATTGCTTTCCTTGCCTGACCTTTTGGATGACGATTTAAACAGTAACCTGTGAATGTTTGGGCTATAGTTTCGTAATTTAACCCTGCTTCAAACTTTACAACTTTATCCCTCACCTGTCTAATGTTCTCCTTTGTTTTCACACTGTGTTTTGTTGACTAATGATGACTCATTTATGCTGTGATTAAATTTCACTCAGCTGCACTCTATTTATTAGGCAATTGGTTGCAGTGGATTTTATCCAGGAGTGACAATGTAACTGGGGCCAGATAAATCTACAGCCTACAATTTAAACTGTGATGCTCTGTGTTTTTCCTACATTAAAGTTTGTGGTTGCAACTTGACAAATTAAAGAAGGAAAGGAAACTCAACATAAGGTCAGTTTATATGCAAAACCTTAGTGAAATTTGAAAAGTTTCAGTTTTCATGCTATGAAAAGCGACAAAATACCGACTTCAGTTCATCTAGGTTTTGCTTTTGGCAACTTGAAAGTGTTGGGTGTGGTGAGTATCAGGTGGGCTCATTAGTGTGGAAAGGCAGTGCAGGCATCATTTACCTCAGCTAAGGCCAGTATTCATGATTCAACAATAAGAAAGAAACTGGGACAGAATTGAATCCATGGCAAAATATCAAGGCCAAATCCACTTCTGATCAGACAGAACATTAAAGACCATCTCCAATTAGCCAAAAACAAAACACCTTCAGTATCTCATTCATAACGATTCTGTGTATGACAAAGAAAGCGTGTAACTTTTTGGAAGGTGTTCATCCTATAGTCTGAAAGTAAAACAGCATTTTAGAAAAAGAACGTCATCATATCAACAGTCAAACATCGTGGTGGTGTGTGTTGGTTTGAGGTACTTAGATGCATTAGGATTCAGATGCATTAAGATATATATATGCAGATATAGAGATATAGATATAGAGGTACAGATATACAGAGTCATTTTAACATAGATTTAACAGATTTTAACATAGATGACAGATCACTGTTGTTAACTTTGACTCTTTATTGTCTGTGTAAAATTTAAAAGTAGAAAGGAAAATCCAGTCATGTTCCCTTTCTATCCAATGTTTTTCAGCACTCACGTTCTACTAACTGAATTTATTTCTTTTTTATCACCCTAATCAGTGCAAAATTAATTTTATATATATATAAAATTATATATATATATATATATATATATATATATATATATATATATACATATATATATATATATATATATATATATATATAAAATTAATTATATATATATATATATATAAAATTAATCATATATATATATATATATATATATAAAATTAATTATATATATATATATATATATATATATATATATTATATATATATATATATATATATATATATATATATATATATATATATATATATATATATATAAAATTAATTATTTAATTTTTTTTTTGTTGTTGTTTTTTTTTTGTTTTTTTACAAGACAAACACAAATGTTGAAGCCTTTTTTTTCTTCTTCTTTCCGGAAGACCATGCCATTTTCTCAATAAGTCCTGCTTTGGGTCCACGGACCGCAGCTTGGGATACTCCTCCCCGGAAGTGGGTGGTGGAGTCGCCGTCACCACACCAGTCAGACCACCGTCGACACAGAGTCTGCTGGGATGAAGCTCGGCACCGGAGAACCACAGGCACTGATCCGGTTCTGAGGCTTGAACGCCGTCCTGGTGATCACGCGGTGAAGCGATCGGACTGTTTCAAGGAGAAGGAAGGAAAACCCGAACATCGCCAACATGATGGAGGAAATAGACAGATTCCAGGTACCCAGCGCGGTGCAGGAGGCAGAGATGCAGTCCGAGATGCAGCCTCTGGTGAGTCCCTGGGGTCTGCTTTAGGTTGCCTGGAGATAATGTCTCTGCTGTTTGTCACGTTCATGTGTTCAAATAACACACAATTAGATTAGAGGCTGTGTATCAAATGAGGCCTGTACCCAACCCATCACACACCGGGAGTGATGCTGATGGAGTTTGAGCCTCTGCAAGTTTTAACCAGGCACTATGGTACATGAATATATTTATATGTATGTAAATTAAAAGGTAGTTTTGAACACGGATGCGGCTGATGTGTTCAGAAAGAGGAATCCTTGTTCCTCTATGTCACGCAGGCACCGTCCGGTTTCCTGCGCAGCATCCGTCATGTCTGGCGTAAACAAGCATCCCGTCCTGAGTCTCTGCTGCTGCTGCTGCTGCTGCTGCTGCTGCTGCTTGTGCTTCAGCATCAGCAGCAGGTTGCTCTTTCTTCGACGCCCCTCGCTGCACTTTTGACTAGATTAAATTGGAATCGTTTGTTTGTTGGCCGCATCAAATCAAACCCCACGCCTCTTTATGTGATTCGGGGTAGTTTGCTCCAGCGGAGCGCTCTGTGGCCTGCAGCGGAGCCCCCGGATACTGCAGCCTGCAGAGCGGCCTCCACTGCCCAGCTCCAACCAGACGAGACTCTCGGCAATCTGATCTTTTCTCTGCTGGCGTCCACGGACTTTGATTAATCTACCGGGTCCCATGTGAGCTCTGAATCGGGGCTGTTCCCTCCCTGCTCTACAATACATGTTTTATTCGAACTGAATAAATAATAATAATAATATAATAATAATAATAATAATAATAATAATAATAATACAAAAGTCTTATATCTGGGGCATGCACACGGCCTCTTGCTCTCTGAAAAACTGTTGTAATTTTGTCAAGTGGTCAAAGAAAAGGTGCTTTTGTTTTGTTTTTCATTTTCATCTTTTATTATATATGTAATATTCAATGCCAATGTTTCTTTTGCTTATGTACTTTATCCATATTTTGTGTTTTTACATTAATAAATCTGATATTAAGGTGATCAGTTATTATTATTATCATCACCATCATTATCTTCATCATCATCATTATTGTTATTTTTATTAGTAGTAACAGTGTTATTATCTACAAGAATATTTTGACATCTGTCTAGTACTGAGTTTAATGATAGGTGACGGTTTATTTGTTCAATCAATTTGTTAAGATATAGCAACAATATAAACCTGCAGCCTGCAGAGCGGCCTCCACTGCCCAGCTCCAAGGTAATGTTGTCCCTGGTGACGTTTCATAACATGCTGGTCAGTAAATTTGTTAATTACATGGGAAATAGAATACAAATTATTTAGAGTTGACCCTCTGAAGGCACTTTATATAGATTGTGTTGTATTTTCCACATAACATGATGGCATTTTCCATCAACTTGTCCTTAATGTTCCTAGTTGGTTTTGGCAGCTTGTTTCTATTAAAACCTTTGTTTTACAGAAAATATGAACCCCTGTGCATGACATAGAGAAACCAGCACCATTCCTTTTTCTTTTTTTTTTTAAAGTCTATTATGTTTCCTATATTTAATTTACATCACCAAAAAGCACTTTAAATTGCTATGTGTCCTAGGATATTGTTTTTATAGTGAACAAAGAGATGTGAATAATTAATGTCAGGATCAGAATTATGCATTTGTGCTCATCTTTCTGTCTCTGGTGGGTTTTTTTTTTTTCAATCCAGGACCCGGCTTCTTCCACTGCCTCAGAGGCAGAGTCCGACACCAGAGAAGGAGAAGCTGTTACTATCAACTATAAGCCGTCACCCCTCCAGATGAAAATAGGTAAGAAATTTATGTTAATGTAGGAATCAGCAAATATGTGTAAAATGTATGATTAAAAGAGTTCAAGTTTTTCATTTAATTGTTAACCATTTAGGACTCAAGTGACTGAATATTACCATTATGGATTATTATGTCAAGCATTTATTTACCAAAATTTTTAAAACTGACAAAAATATTTAACTTAGTTTCAACACCCTGGACAGTGTCCAGTGGTAAATAGCATGTGACTAGATGCAGGAGAATGGTGGGCTGAATGTTTCTAAAAGCTTGTACAGCAACAAAACCAAAGTGAAGTCTGAACAGTGAACAAAGACACCAACAAGAGCAAAATCCACAGGTATCAACAATCAGAAGGATCTGACAACGCCTGAGAGAACATGGGAGGGAAATAAATTAGGGAGTACAATTAGTGGTGCTGCTGGGCGATATAATGAGAAGGATATCTATGTAAATATTTCTTGTAATTAGATTAGCATTTAAATAAGATATACCACAGTCTCACTGTATCACTACATTCCCAAAACTATTTAAAATAAAAATGTATAAAAGTAGCATAAGAATATCAGCTTTATGTAATATGTACATAATACACAGATAAATATGCACAATTTTGGTTAACACAATTTTGTTAAATATTAAATATGGTTTAAAAGACTTGAGCAAAAACTAACAAAGGCCACTCAGTTTGCTCTTGAAGAAAACATGCTTATTGCACATTGTGTTCATTTCTGGTTTATTAAATTGGAGCAAGAGGAGCAATAATCTCAAAGGAAAACATGACTTATAGTGGGAAGTCAAACACGTCGCTCTCATGGCGAATGTTTGCCTACATTCCCAGAACAACAGAAAGATTAATGCAGATACAAACTATACTTGGTGGTGCTGTAACTTATGTAAGTTCAAACACTTCAACTCTAACAAGCTGCTGACTAATAGATTAATTAGTTGGCCTTTCTGCTTCCATTGGCAGCCGAGAGTTAGGTGTTAAACATGACTTTAATATGATATCCCTTGATTAACAAATAGCTGTGAGTTGTTTTGTTTCATCGATTTGCAGATCCTGACTGCTGATTATTTCCAAACAGTCAACTTTTTTTGTGTAATGAATGTAATGTAATAAAGTGTAATAAACATTTTAGCTGCCCTCATCGTCCTTCCTGCCTTTTGACCCGAACAAGTCCTGGATGGAGGAAAGGTCAGCCGTAATGCTCTTTTCTTATTAATCTGTCTCGTGTGCAGAGAAACAAAGAGACCTGGCCAGGAAGGGCTCATTAAAGAACAACAACACTGTAGGTAGTCCGGTTAACCAGCAGCCCAAGAAGAACAACGTCATGGCCAGAACACGGTAAGAAAATAACGCTGCGGTTGAAGGTTCGTGGAAGAAATCAGTAAAAACACTCCTGTCTCGATTACTCCAACTATATCTGAGTATTCAAAGCTTGCTTTATGTCTGTCAGTCCATATGTCTTCAAAAATAGCTACATTGATTTTTTTGTAATGTTTCAGTCAGTAAGCAGACTTCTTCCATGATTCTGTTGTTCCTGTAGTGCAGCTGTAGCTGAGCCTCGAGGCCAGTCTTTATGACTCTCTCATCAACTCTGCTTGTCATGTTCTCACTGCTCCTCCCTAAATCCCCTTCCGGTCCCCTTTTTTTTCCACTCCACCACAGGTTGGTAGTACCCAATAAAGGTTATTCATCTTTAGACCAGAGCCCAGACGAAAAGCCCCTGGTGGCCTTAGATACCGACAGGTAAGATGACACAAACATGCTTTGTTTTTGTATGCACACTTCTGAGGATCCAGAAAAAGAACCGCTAACACGTATCTCTGTACTGCAGTGACGATGATTTCGACATGTCTAGATACTCGTCGTCTGGATATTCTTCTGCAGAGGTGAGACGGCTGCGGCGCACTCTACTTCCTTTCCACTTATTTACTATTTAATTCTCTTCCATCCCTCATTCCTTTGCCTCTGATCTTCACGGTTGTCAGGAAGGAAAGCCAGTCTTCAGGCAAGCTTATTTAAGCCCATCCTGCAAAACCATGCTAATTATGTAGGCGTCGTCTCTCACCGCAAGTGTATGATTGAACCGCAGGTGCGCATGCACAAAAAAAAAAAGTGTTTGAAGCATAAAGCAAGATGTAAATGTCATGAAATGCTTTTTCCTCAGTTTCTGCACATTTTGTTTTTAAAGGAATGTGCAGCTTGCATTACAAGGAGAACATGTTCATTTCTCAGAGGAATCCTAAATGTGATCCCTTTACAGCAGTTTCCCATCTGGGTGCTGATATATTTACACTGACTTGTCGCTGTGTGAATAAAAGACTCGAGTACAAACATTGTGACCCAGTGTTGATACTCAATTTCTATTGTAACGCTCAAAGAATGAGTGATAATAAAGATCTGGGAGAAACTTACCGTATGAACACGAAGAATCACACCAGGGCTTTAGTTGTCGTGATCAAGACAAAGATCCAAGCAGCGATGCCTGCAGCCATCTGTGAGAGCGCCATGGTTACCACTGTTACGTTTTACTAGAGTAATTCATAAGAACGGAGGGTCTTAGCTTTTCAACGTCGTTCTAGCTTCAGTAGTCAAAAGATCAATGACTTTTGAGAAAATGAGAGTGTTTCAAAGCAGAAATATCCACTTGGTTGAGTCTCTTCTTCATAAAGGGTTTTACTTAATATGTTCTTTTTCACAGTGGGTGAACTGTGGGGGTTTAAAGTCATCTTTCAAACAACCTCACATTAGCAAATCTGTTTTCCACACAGATATTGAATGTTGTGCTGAAAGTTTGACTAAATATGTGTAGAAATGAGATCCAGATTAGACTCTGATCTAATGTTTATTTATTCTTGGATTTATGCTTGGATTAACTGCAGCATAACAACCAGATTTTGCAACACTGTCCTCACTCTGATCATTTTGGAAAATTTAAGAAGGCTCAGATGCTTGGATTTTTGTTTTTACTAATGTCTAAAAAGTGAAAGTGTCAACCCTAACCCTAAGGGCCAAAGTAGAAAGAGTTTAACCGTCTCTCTGATGAAACGTAGCAATTAGTTGCCTATTTTAATGTTTGTGTTGTGGCGAAAAAGTTTAAAAGACTTTTTGTTTTACAGATTATTACTAATCGTTAGCTCCCTTATGTCACCCATCGTATGAAGCTTTCTGAAGCCGTTCTTTAGTGACACAATCTCCTTCTTAAAGTTGTTCAGTCACTCAGCAAAAAATGCTTTTAAAAATGAGGAAATATACATTTGTACCTTGACCAGACCTCAATTACATTAACTATATTTGATCTGTATATCAAAAAAAATGTTGGTTTTATACATCCTTTGTATAATATTGGAATGCATTTGTATATAACCCACATTGGGTAAAAAAAAAAAACATGCCACCTTCTCCAGAATTTTTTAATAATGAAGTCAAACAAGTAGATTTTTTTGTATTGTTATGTATTCAACCAAACATTTTTTTTTTCAAAAATACAAACCTGACATCAAAATCAGGTTTTTGATGTCTTTTTGTAAACATCATCCATGTGATTATCTTTTCTGTACCTGCACCTGCTCTGATCTCCAATAACATAAAACTCAATTTCCCACATTTTATTTTGAACATGTTCTGTTTATGACCTATATGTAAAGGATCTAAAACAACATCTAGACGCAATCTCAGATTTTAAGATTATAATATTATATGCCGTGCATACAGCTGAACTTCTGTAATTTTACTTTTGAAGAGGTTTTCTTTGTGTGTGGTGAAAACAACAACACTCCTCTTTGTCTCTGAAGGGGTCCAGTTCTTTACTGACTCATCTGCTCCTCTCTCTTCTCAGCAAATCAATCAGGATCTGAACATCCAGCTGCTGAAAGACGGCTACCGCCTCGACGAGATCCCAGACGACGAGGACCTGGATCTGATCCCACCCAAATCAGTCAACCCGACCTGCATGTGCTGCCAGGCGACCTCCTCCACGACCTGCCAAATCCAGTAACCCACCTCTCCCCCAAAACCGCTGGCCCCTTCATCCCTCACAAACTTAAACCCGCTGTCTTCATCCGCTCTGAGTTTACTTCGCCACCAGAGTGGCAAAATGTGAAGCATTTGTAGAATATTGTCATGACAGTAAAGTGCTATGATGATTAGGTAAATAATCACACTAACAAATAAAAACTTTGGTACAAAATCTTGAACACAGAGGAAAGTATATGTAAGGGTAAAAGCAGTAAAGTGATGGATTCCTCCTATGGCAGGAGACACACTTCTGTTTAAGAGTCCCCTCCCGTTGGCGGACGTAATGTGACCCTGATATTAGTTTACAGACACGAAAAGGTCAGCTGCTGCTGTGAAGTGGTTTCCATTTCCCTGACTGGTAACAAACACGATCATAATTGCTGACTCAACTGTTCTGCTCTGGTTTGCCTTGTTTTAATATATTTTTTTCCTTTTATTTTAATGTATTAACTGAGATCAGCGCGCCTGTATCTGGTAACGAGAAATATGGGATGTGGTCTTTTGAATTCCCCTGGTACTGTATCCTTTTACTGTACAAGGTTGCTATGTAGCAAGGGTCAGATCTTTGAACACTTAAACACTGCGACATTTCTGCTTTCTCTGCGACGCTGGAGTGAAATGTTAAACCACAAAGTTGATAGATGAATGTGTAAACATGAATGACTGTAGTACAAACTGCATGAAGGCCACCAGAGTGCAAAGTAGGAAGGAATTTTTAAAAGCACGTAGCTTTTGCAAATTTAATTTTCTGTTGTGTAGTCACCTGCTGCTGTTGTGGCACAAGCTTGATTTTTGAATTTCTTTCAATTTGCACTTTTTATTTGAGATTTTATGAGTTCATATCACTCTTTCCTGCACCACAAGTGAATGTGACGTACCTAAAATTATCTGTTTTTGTTTATTGCTCTGTTTTCTACTGTGCCTTGCAAGATTATTTACGCCTCTTGGACTTGAGCACATTTTGTTGTCAGACGTAACTGTGCTTTATTGGAATTTAATGTAAAGCACCAACACAAAGTAGATCATAATTGTGAAGGAGAAGGAAAAGCACACATGGTTTTCATAATTTCTGACAGATAATAATGTGAAGAATGTGGTATACATACAGTAATAGGAATACAGTAATATTTCTACAATTACAGCTGGAAATCTTCTACTTTATGTCTAGCAGCTGTCCTATCAACTGATTCTCGCATTTGAGCCATGTATCCTTGCAACTCCTCTTGATGTACCAAGGGACTTGATGCCTGTCCCTTTAAATAAATCTGTTGTTGTCCAATCTGTCAATTTAGATCTACAGATGGTAAATGGCAAAAACTTCTTTTCTTACCAAACCTTGCTGTAAACAAATTTATCCCTGACTGTTTCCGACCTTCTTTGGCTTTCAAGATACTAATGACACTAATGTTGTTTTAGCAAACCACTGAAGTTTTCAGAGCGGTACTATGCACGCAGGTGGATACCATATACTCTTTGCACCGGTTTTTATTAAAGTTCAAGCAACTATTTTAAGAAACATGTATTATTTTCCCTCCATTTCACAAACATAACACTTTGTATGGATCTACCACATTGAAATCCAGTGATATATGCTGATGTTCATGGTTCTAATTTTATAAAAAAAAAAAAAAGTAAACATGCAGCATAAATACTTTTGCAAGGTACGCTATGAATGCCAAAGGAATAAAAGTCCAGATAGATTTTCCGTACTTGGTTTGTTGGGTTAGAGCTTCTCGTTTTTCTCCCATGTCACAGAGTGTGGCAAACGCGAGACGCTGATAATCAATAAGGAAAACATAGGTCCAGTTTAAAAGGACGCTCCCTGTTCTCTCACGCATGCATGCATCCATCCAAACCTACAATCCCAGAACATTAGGCGAAACAACTTCATACTTTCCTTCGACTTATAGGGTAGAAACCATTTTGTTATCCCAACATCAAGGACGTCACCAACTTGGAGCACCAGAATCCCTCATTTACAACCCACTCCCTTCTCTGATTCAGTTGTTTAATGCAATTAGATTATGCCTTAAGGACAGAGAGGCTTAAAAAGCTGTGGGTATATTTATTGCCGTTATCTTTGGTTTATTTGAGGAAGGAAGATATTTTTAACATGTTGATTTTTTCTTGAGTTTCCTCTTTTTTAAATGACTTTTATGTATTGTAAACAGTTCCATTACAGTATTTACCAATGTTATTGTCATGTGCAGTGTATGAAGGTGATTAATAAACAAAAAGCAAATGAAAAACTGTCTGCTCGGAGTCGTAGTTTGACCAGCTCTCTTAGCTCATGAGTATAAATGTGTGTACGATAAGGACAAAATGAGTGACAGCTAAATATTTAAAAGGAAATAAAAAGCTATTTTAATGATAAAGTTGAGGATTAATTATTACACAGTGGTGTGTATTGCAATAGCATGAGGTTTGGATTGACAGTTCCTGATTACAGAAAGGCACCAGCATCTAATCACAGTTATCTTAATGCGACAAAAGAAAAACAGGAATTCACTCAGCAAACATATGTAATGTGTGGAAACAAATATAAAAATTAAGCTAAGGAAAGTAGTGATTTAATAAGACCTCTCACTTTGTTAGTAGTAATATTATAAAAGATAACCAGACAAGCAAAAAGAAACACATGCTACATGATGGAATACAATCGCTCTCAACAAAGTAGTAATGAACGCAGTCCTCAAAGTGCTACGATGAACAATAACAATGAAAAAAATTATATTTTTGAGGATTTTGGAAAATGTTGTGCTTCCATGTCACCACATGGGGGGAGGGGGTGTGATTTTATCAGACAAGACCAAAACATGACATTATTCGCTTACAAAACACAATTTACACACAAAATAATGTAAAGTTTTCAATGTACAGCCACTGGCACAGTTGGTATTGGAGAGAGTCACTGATCTGTTGATCGGTAAAGTGTTTCTGAGAAAATGCAACATGAAGAATATGAAACGAGTCCATTCAGGGGGTCATCTCCCCCAACCTTCCCAGAGATTATGACGCCAACATTCTCCTATGCTACAAAGGCACACACTTCCACTGAACACAAACCGTCACGGCCTGGAAAATGAAAACAAGCGGCATTTTTTTTATTTCACAATGACTTCAGCTCAGCTTAAAAAGGTTTTACCCTGTTATGTTTTTCTGCACCTCTTAAGATTCAAGTCTGAATGAAACACAAATGTTGAAGTCGGATCCCCCTCCCACCGCGTGAGACTGGTGAAGTATTGTAAATGTATTTAGATTTTTTTTTTCCGTGCATGTATCTGCAAGTTTATTGTTGCATAAAAACATTTCAATTTTAGCAGCTCAAAGCACAGCTGAGGTCTGTAGCCAAACATATATGAAATTAAATAGCTAAGCTCTGCATCTCTATATTATAACTTTTCTTATTACACTCTCATAAACTACACTAACCTGAATCTATGTCCTGTCTGTTTAATTTATTCACATGGTAATACTGTTGTATAGTGCATTCACATTGTGTTTGACGGAAAAGTAACTGTAAAAGAAATTGTGTGTCATTCTTCACACTGGACGATAGGAATATTTCTAAAACTTCAGAACTCGGATTTGATCCAATGTCAGATGCCGTGGCCAATGTTAGGCTGCATCTTGAAATGGAGCGTGAGTTTCTAAGAGCAACACTGTCTATGTAAATGAACTTTGCTTTGATTTGACGTTCTTTAAGAAAACCCATAAATGAACCTGGACAAAAAGAAAAAAAGAATAACTAGTCATCTCTGCCAGACCCTGAACAACCCTCAATAAATATAAATTACCTCAGGGAATGAGTCAGCGAACTCTAGTTAAATGACAATCAGCTTGCTGTTGCAAGTGTGAAAGGAAAGTCCCTGAATATTTGTCTGGCTGACTGAGAGATTCACGTAGCGGTACAGCAGGGTATGTTACCTTCTAATAAACACCATTCTCACTCTCTCTATATATATGTTATATATATATATATATATATATATATATATATATATATATATATATATATATATATATATATATATATATATATATATATATAAAACCAATCATGGACAGTAGGTGTTTCAGATTCCTGCAGGACTTTGGTCCCCAGAGTCGGAGGAGGATATGGAGGTGGAGCAGCGGCGTCTCTTGGCAATACTGGAGCCCTGCAGCATGCTGGGATGGAAGCCCGCGTGTCGCCGGGCGTGTTTGGTCAGGTGGTCGCTCCTCATGAAGCACTTTTCACACAGCGGACAGTTGAAGCGCTTCTCGCCCGTGTGCGTGCGGTAGTGGCGTGTGAGCTCGTCCGATCTGGAGAACTTCTTACTGCAGTCTGGCCAGGTGCATTTGAAGGGACGTTCCCCTGGGAACACACACGCATAATCCCTTATTTTTATTGTTAATTGTTTATCACACGTTTAACAAGTTTATAATGATTTATTTATTTTTTGTCAATGCCTCATAAAAATGTCAGCCAATCACCGTATATATGCATCACCAGTAAAAGCCAATGATGTGTATTTACAGTTCTTCCAAGTTTTAAGATAGCGGCTGGTCTGATGGACTGCATGACATTTCACAATGTTTGCATTTAATCTATGCTGATAAAAAAAAAAATAAAGCTGAAAAGAATGTTTTAATGATGGATTTCTTCTTGTACATTGTCTGTTACTTAAGACACATGCAGCAGGACAGAGTGTAACACTGCCTTGTAGCAACAAAGTCCTGCATTGAGCTTGTTCTTCCAGTGCTGCATGGATTCTCTCCTTGCACTCTGACACAGTCCAAAAACTTGACTGTTGAGTTAGTTGGTCAGTCTCATTTTTCCCTACCAGTAACTATGTGCATGTAGCCTATTGTCAGTTCCTCTGCGTGTCTCCGTTTCCCTGGAAAAGATTAACATTCTGTACAGTCTGTACCCTGCCTTTCGCCCATTGAACGCTGCAGCTCGGTCCCAATGCGACTCTGGAAGACATCTTACAGATGTTTCGAGAGAAAAAAAACAACAACTTAGAAGTCATCTCAGAGGAGCTACGTCACAAAGGTAATTTAGGGAAAACAAGTGTGCTTAAAATGAACTGGCTGCATAAAAATACCGCCCCGTTAGAATCCGTAAACAAATGTTTTCACTCGATTTAGAGTTTGCATGCAAAAATAAAAAAAAAAAACAAAACACGCATGGCCACACCCCACTTCCTCCACGTGCGCCACCGAAACCACATGTCCGCTCTTGTTTACAACTGGACGGAGGGGTGTGGAGGTGGCTGACGTATGAGGAAGCGGAGGCGCAGGGTGGGTTACCTCTGCACAAGAACACAGTGACAACGGGGACGGATTGACCCGTACCTTTCTGACGCGTCATAAGACAATATGTTGACCGAGGTCGTAGCTGCGTTTTAAATTATTCTCCAAGTAAATCGTGCCTGGAGTTAATTAGCGCTCGTTGTGATTTATTACGCCCCAACAACGTGTCACGCACGGGAAGAACGCGATGTTCCCTCAGGAGCCCGCGTCCTGCTGCTGCGTGTCAACAACGCATTAAGACACAATTGATCTAACGCACGCCTCTTTTTCTGCCTGCTCAGCCAGTGGCAGACATGATATGACCTGGCCAAGTCACTCCCGAAGCAGCCGAACCCAATGGACCACCTGTCCCTGAACGTGTTCCCTCTCGCGGGAACGCTTCACAAGTCAAACAAAGATACGACTGTTTGTCCAGCATATGATAATGATAATAATAACATACATAAACTGTGACTTTGGAATCAGTAACACCGCCGTAAATCCGCCTGAAATAATAATGAAGGTAGTGGCTAATTATAGTCGGCTCCAAGTGACGCAACGCGGGTTTGCTGCGGTCGACAGAACCGAGCCGGTGACTTTTTTTTGTAGGCGTGTCGACCGGCCGAGCCCGCACTCACCGGTGTGGACCCTGAGGTGGGCTTTGAGGTGGGACGACTTCCCGTACATTTTCCCACACCCGGCAAAGGGGCAGCCGTGCTTCTTCTCGGGGGTCTCCGTTCTGCCCGGCGCCTTGTTCCGGGGCTTTTTGAGAACCGGAGACACCCGACTGCTCCCCCGCTCCTCTTTCTCCTGCCTTCCCGCTTCCATGGCACCGCCGAGACATCTGCCGTCTCCTGCGTCTGGACCGCATTTCTTTAAGTCCAGTAAAATCATCGCCACCATCAGTAAAGTGCCGTTTTCTTGGCTGTCTTTAAATACGTCCTCTGTCCTCTCCAGAGGACAAGTGGGGACGCAGTCCACAGAGACCTCAGCCTCCGACATCGCTGGAGCAGATCTGGGTGGAGTGCAGGCAGTCTGCGCAGAGTTGGAGTCTGGAAAACAATCCGAAGAGTCGTGGTCAGACCGCAGTCCTCCTTGGAAACGTGGCTAATGATCCACACGTGCCGGCCTCAGTCCCTGTCTCGAAAAAGACGGAACGTTTTCTTCTGGAGGATGCTGGGCGGACAAATGAACGCCGCCTCAAGAGAGATAACAGTTGTGCTCCTTTCCTGTTCTTCTTCTTTAGTCGTGCTCTTTTCTTCCCTCCTTTAAGCTACTGTGCTCCTGAGACGTATGTTCCACCGGTCTCTGAGCTTGCACTCCGGCGTCCACTTGTCCTATTTTACAGTGAGCAACAGTCAGTTCTCTCAACTCCAAGAAACAATTTCGCGGAACACCGCTGTGTCATAATAGAGACGCGCCGCGATTGGCTGTTGGCGGCTGTGACTCGTCTCTTAAAGCTGCCGTTTCTCCAGCGTGAGCGACGGAGACTTGGACCAATCACAGGCCGGATTTTGTGATGTTGCGTTTGAGTCGAGAATATGGCTGGGAAATATGGATTACGGAGTGTAAAATTGACTTTTTAAAGTTTCTGCTTGGCACTCATGTGAATATAAACTTAGGCACTTTAGTTGAACAGTAAAATAATTCAGCTAAAGCAACTACGGAAGCTTGTGTTAAACAACAACAAAAATGATAGAATGCATAAATTTAAAAAATTGTTTGGTCACGCTGAATCTTAACTTTTATCAACAAATAACGTCAAATCATCATCAAAAATAAATATTCAGCACTTGAAGTATATGTTCGGATGATTAGCACCGTGTAATATGCTTTGAATTTGTGCTCAATGTCAGATTTCTCGAGTTCCAATAGCAACAAACTACAGAAAATACAAGTGGCACAGTTTTCATTAGCATGAATCTGGAAATTCAATATGGCCACTCTGCATCTAAGCATAGAGATTGCAATAGTAATACTGTTTCTGTTTTGTGTCTAATTAAGTTTCTGAAAGTGTTGCTCCAATATTTAAAGGCATGAAATCTACAGATATACATTATTACAGTATTTTATTGAGAACAGCCTTACAAATGAGGAGTAGTTTTTGGCCAAAGCAAAGTTCTATGTATTTTAAGAAATCACCTTTTTGCCTACTTGTGATTACTAGCTTTATACATTGCTGTGTATTTAACCAATGAATCCGACACAAGTGTCACTGCCAGAGATGTCCCCAGTGGCAGTGGTACCACAGTTTTAAAAATCATAGAAATAGACTAAGATTTGAAATGAGAAAATTAGTGTATATGTAACCAGTTGTCAAGGCACAAACAAAACCTGCTTTCATTAAAACTGGCAGTTGGACCATTTATTTCCATTAATAGACTTGTGATGAGAAGAACTATCAGGCCACTATTTAAAGAAAGTTACAAATTAAGGGTCATGATATGTGTTATGTTTATTATGTGTTAACCAAAACTAGCTGCTGTGGTCTGTTTTGTGTTATTGAAACTGTCTCATTCAATGTGACACACCCCTTATTGCTCATTCCTACTGTCCCTACAGCTGCACTTGAACTCTTAAAGAGATACAAACACAATAAAAGTTTTACAAGAAATTAAGAAAACAAATTCAAACACAGAAAAAGTTTTAACTCCAGTGACAAACAGTTAGTTTCCATTCCCTGCAACCTTTACAGCATTGTTTAGCTTGTAGTCCAGGAGTAGTCATAAAGTTTATTTCTTGGTCTTTGAAGATATATATTTTTTTATCTGTCTTCAGAATATGTCTTCATGCTTCCACATTTCTCTGAGCCATTAAGAAATGCCAGCAACACATATGCTGATAGTCCAGTTGAAACTGTAACAAAACCAATTTCTCTTTCCCAACCCCTTGCTTTAAAATAAGGGGGGTACTTCGAGTGCAGTGGGTGGTTCATGTGGTTTAAGTTCTTTGAAATTCTGTTTTCAGGGTGCAGAGATTGTGCAATTCTTCCTCTTTGCACAATGAAAAAGAGATCGAAAATTAAATAAACATTGGAGATTCATGTTTTTGTTTTTTTCTGTTTTGGTAAAGTATTCTCTCTTTCAGAACATCTTTATTTACTGGCAAAAAAATTTTTTTTGTTTGTTTTAGTATTTAAAATACCAGCCTTTCTCTTTGGATGGTACCTATCTGCCCTACAGGAACAAAATGTACAAGTGACTTTAAGATGTCTGTCCGTAGAAACAAAGTTCCCATCTGTGTTTCTACAAACTTGTGCTGTCCCAACAAAACCGACATACACTCCCCATTGACACTATCCCCCGTTCACATCCTCCTTTTTCTGGATTCAGGTGCAGAACCCCCACATTTCCAAGAAAAGGGGTCTCGTTGAACTCTGGCTCCCCCTGCTCTTCCTACAGCGAGGCTGTAAACATTTCAGTGAAAGAGGAGGCGCTTCTGCGGCTGTCGCAGTCTCTCCTGCTCCCCTCGCTTCCACCCCCACCCACCCCCACCCTTGTTCTCTCGACAAAGTGCAAGAGTTCAGGATTGCGCCGTACTTCTGGGTCATATCGTCATGTTGACACGGTCGTGGCAGAGATAAGGTTGTTTTTCAGTGTGCAGGGGGCGCGCGCGCGCTTCTACAGGGAGAGAATGAGAGGACACGTGCAGAACGTCGGTACAAAATGTTCCCATGTCCACGTGTGGCAATGTGAGCGAGCTCAGCACTGCGGGCCCCGCTTCCTTGAGCTAACAGGCTCCTTTACCACCAACACACACTCTTAGGGCACACGCATACACATGCACGCGACCACACCAGCACACCCACAAGCGGAAGGACTGGAATTCCCAGTCCATCCATCAAGACAGACTGCATGTGTCCACAGCAATCAAAATACACGGCACAGTTAAGAACTCTGACACGTGTTGATCAAATTGCATGAAACCATAAAGAAAAAACATACAATTTGGTCTAGAATTACTTCATTGCTGCCTTAAAGCGACACTGCGGGATTTTTGCAGAGAGGATCTGTTTCAAGGTTGTGCAGGGCTGACCAAAGATCTGATGGGACCTTAAAGCTGCAGTATGTAACTTTTGTAAAAAAAAATAAAAAATAATAATAATTAATTAATAAATAAATAAAAGAAGAATATGCCTTTATTTATGTATTTGTTAAAAGTGTCATTATGTTGTGACATTATAGTACAAAACAGGTAGTCTGTGGGGGGAAAAACAACAACAACAACAACAACAACAACAAAACAATCATGCTCTCCTGCCTTTTGAGCGCTATCTGCAGAAATACAGACTTGGTCAGTAGAAACCAATCAGAGCCAGGAGGAGGGTCTTTCTGCTACCCTATAGCTTCTTCCAGATAGCAAAGCCTGTCATGGTTGCTCAGGCTAGTTAGCATAGTGACCGATGACAGGGGATAGCACTGGAGGCATGTACACCAGCAACAGAATAAAAGATTAAACTTGTAGCATCAGATTGTAACAATGTCAATATAACAATCAAAAGATGAAGGTTATTAAATATAAATACTGATTAACTCTCTTGACATCTATATTGATTAGTCTTGAGTGATAAACTTAACAGCTCAAGTTAAGTTTATCGCTCAACTGGAGTGATAAAGTTGTCTGAAAGAGGCCATGAACAAAATTGATTTGAAGCATAAAACTAACAAAATAATCTGAGCTTTATACCAATGCTTTTTTTATGAGCCCTTAAAACATTTTCACATTTGCAATGTGTGTTTTTCTGTGCTCATAAGCAGGCAGTTGATGCAGCATTGGATTTATCTCGGAAGTTGAAGCTCAAATCTGAGGAAGACGTCGTGTCAGTAGAGCACTTTCTAGTTAGTTGCAAGTTGAAGCACCAGTGCAGTTTTCTATTTGTTGCGATCTACAATTAGAAACACAAAAACTAGAGTGAATTTCCCTGTTTTCTCTGCATTCAGATATAGAAGTAACATCTTCTCCACTAGTTGTTATGCAGTGTGTATCACTGGTTGAAAAAGATACAAACTGTCAGAACTGCTAATAAAGTTGTTTATACTTGCACTTTGATACATGTTGTATATGCAAAAGCCGTGTCGGATACCAAACTTAGGGCTCCGCAGCATCCTAAAAAGTTCCCAGTTGACATTCACAAGAAGAGAACTTCCCAATGCAAATGTGACCACAGTTTAAAACTTCACTAAACAGCAAATAGTGCTACTAAGTTTTGAAGTTGCCCTAAGACAATAAAAGTCTCCTGTGGTTTTGATTAACTGTTCATTTCAGACTGATCTGTATTTACACCAAATAAAACTACCAAAGTCTTTAACTGCTGCATGTCAGATATTAGCATACAGATGCTTTGGGTGAGTTAATGCATCAACTTTTTTTTATTGTCATCTAGTTCAATTTCATTCAGATAAAAAGAAAATAAATGCAAACGACAAATAAGTTGTGCAACTCTACTGTGAAAAACTAAATCACTGAAATTTTACATGACTCCCCCCCACCCCTTTCCTGTTTGTAAAGCTTGTCTTTTGTCTACAGCAGCTCAAGTTTGAAATATGACAGCATGAACAATCCCACTCATCTGGATGACAACCAATGTCTACAGACTTTGACGTATCTGGGGACAAATGGACATGATATTAAAATGCTCATTACTTTGTCAATTTCTGGCTGAAATTGTTTCAAGAATTAAAAGAGACACGCACTACTCAGATACCAATCTATAACTGTTTATTTAACAATGCATGCCAGACAGGATCCTAGTCACATTGAAGAGTACAGATTTGTATTTGCATCCAAATACGCACTACTTTTATTTCATATGGTAATTTCTTTCCGTCTTTCTCTCGGTCAACGTTACAAGTCATCTGTGCACAAGCTGAGTGGAAGAACTGCATGCATTCAAAGGACATAAACTTAAGTGTGACCAATAGGTGGGATACACTACGTCCCTTTTAGTTTAACATCAACCATTATTGCAGAAGTTTGTGCGTGTAAAAACTCTCCTTCAGCTCACTTGTCAACGGATTTCATATAAAAGGAGAAAAAAAGGAACAATCTCTTGATTATCAATAAATGCTCATCTTTCCCCTACACCGTGTGATATAGCGTTAGAAAATATTTTTAAAATACTGTACACTTAGACTATATGGAGGGCTGTATTGTCCTGGCATGCCTCCCTGTTGATGGTGTGTTTTACATGTCTGGTTTCACACATTCACATCTCCTGTTGTAACAACTCCTTCCACAACAGCCATGTAGATGTATAAATCATACTAGTTGTTTCTACAAGCCCAGAACAAATCTGTCATTTGATAGTCTTTGCAGTGGGGATAAACAGATCACAAAAAAATAAATATATATATATTGCAGCAGGCCAAAAGGGAAGGGCTTAGGTCAAACATAGTCATTTGTTTTCATACTTTTTCACACAGAGCTTGAGCTGAACTGTTCAACCTTAGCGCCTTTCATCTCCCGCCTGTCACATCTCATTGGACAATAGGTCAACAAAACGCAACTTAGCCCGTCTCCATTTGGCTTGACGGTTTGGTTTGGTTCAAAATGGAAGCAGCAACTGTGCATGACCAAAGCCTACTCAATGTCAGCACTGTAGGGAAGAAAAAAGGTGGAAATAAAAGAGAGAGAAAAAAGTCCCGCCGTTTTGCTTTTACTATCAGCATTTTACACTTCAGGAGGTGAGCAAGATGAGCCAGTATGAAGACATTCATTCATATGCTATTGCTATCTTTTAAGACAAAACACAATGTATATATATGTATATATTTATATGTATACTCTAAAATCTCCCAAATTCTGGGTTAGACTCATAAAGCACAGTGATTAAATTGGATGCCTTCAGCTCTAAACAAACTGATCTGTGTCGTTCTTTTCTTTCTGTTATTCGACTGTATCTCAGTGAAACACTTTATAACTTGCATCACTGGGGTAATATTGTCCCTGAGCACTGACCTAGGATCATCCTTTCATATCCACAATGCAACCCACACACCTATCGAAGCAAACAGAGTACGACTCTGGTTCTGTTCGATTTTTATGGTCAATTCTGACCTTGCAATGGCACTGCAAACCTTAAGTTTATATTCCGAACAATACAGATGCACCTCAGCTTATTAGAAAGTGATTTTTAAGAAGCTGTTTTTTTTTTTTTTAAATTTAACTTAAAAAGTTATAGAAGGTCATAGGAACTTGGATTTGCGGCACCCAGCAAATAACAAGCTAATGGCCACTTTCTCAGAAAATTCGAAATGTTACATGGCCCCAATAAAAAAAAGATTTGAAATTTAGAAATCTGATGTCATGGCCTATCACAACTCATGGGGAAGACGACTGACTTGGCAGTTGTCCAGGAGACAGTTATCGGCCGTTCTAAAAAGAAGTTGAGCCATGAAAGTTTTTTTTATTTTCATAAAGAAGCTGGCTACTCTCCAAGGACTGTGTCCAAACACATTAATTATGATAAGTGGAAGAAAAACAACTGTTAAAAAGGCGTACAAACTTTAGGCATAATCACAGCAGAGTGAGGATTATGAATTCCTTCATCTTGACAATGAATAATTGTAAAGATGGATTATTGTTCAGGTCAAGGTCCAGGTGTGGGGAATCCAGCCCTGTGACATTAGCATTAGAGTCAATAAAACAGGCTTTTGAAAGTGTGGGGAGGTGCCAAATTTTGGAATACTTTTGTACTGGAAAACAAAATCAATATCTCCATAAATGTCAGCAGCTGAGGAAAATGCTCTGAAATTTCCTGGTAAGTAGCTTCCTGGTGACTTTGAAACTGGAGTTGGACAGTGGAGCAACATGGTGACTTGGCTCTTAAAATCATTGTTGACTGTGTAAACGACATGCTGAACCACGATGACTTTGGATGCTTGTGTCTCCGCTTCATCCAGATTTTTTACCTTGATTTATAAATGAAATGCAAATATGACTTTTAGCTAGAATACAAATTCATCAGGATGTGATCAGCGTTCCTTGATAAAATCAAATGTAGAAACTTTAAAATGGGCAATATTTTATATGTTTAGTAAGAAAAGAGCCACTTGGGGCTCTATTTCTGCAGGTTGCACACCCTTGGTCTACCAGATGAAAATTGAACTATTTTAATATGACTGAAGCTAAGTGCAACAATTACATTTTCAATTAATTGTTAATGTAAAACTGTGAGAATAAAAAAAAGGGCCAGCCAGTTTTACAGTGGCACTGATTCCTTTTGGCTCCTGTCTGGAATCTTAGTCCGTGTGAGACGTTCCTGATGCGTTCCCACTCAGGAGTCAGAAAGTCCTGGTGTGTGGTGGTTCGTGAAGCCTTTAATCGGCTGTACTCTATTATCTTGTGAACTCCTCGTTCCACTCGAAAAAGTGCTGTTTAACAAACTTGTCAAAGCTGCAGTCAACCATGTTTCTATTTCTAACACACTTTTTTCCTTCAATGTAGCATGTCACTGATATGGTTGGACTCAGTCCTTTGCAAACAGTCAGGTTCTTCAGCACTGACCCTTTTTGGCTTTCACTTATAAAAAACTTTAGACAGCTGTCGGGTTTCAAATAGAAGCTTGGTCATAATATAACTTTTGTTAAAATTTTTGTATTGTTCGTGTTCATTTTTCAGCTCTTTTAAGAAACAAATTTGTGGTACTTCATTAGCTATAAGCTACAATCAACAGATTTAACCACTTTAAGCACTGGGAATATATCTGTGTGTAACAAAACTAGAATAAATGAGTTTTACAATCTGAATTAAATTACTGACATGTTTTTATGCTATATTCCAACACATGCAGATGCACCTTTTGGTTGAAGGGACATTTCATTGAGGCTTTCCTTAAATAAATGTTTGGCGACGTCTGGTTTTGCAGATGAAAGCACTACAGTTGCTTAATGTGTTTAAAACATCATCAACTGGAAATGTTTAACAGTCTAGAAGAGTTTTGATTGAAAGACGGGGTGAGGCAAATCAGGTCAGTCAACTAAAGCTAGACAGAAGAGCTCCAGCAACAGCAGCACCAGCCGAGCGGAGAAGCTCAGTCCTCAAGATAACGTCTCACTGTCGCATGCAAACAGATTCATTTGCTCTCTTAATCCACAAAGCCACAGTGCTAAAGACATCTCACACGATTTTTGGTGTATTTAAATAAATTATAAAACCATACAAGCAATGACGTTATCTCGCAATAACAATTCCTCCACTATGTACAGTAGATGGGAAAGGGAACAACAAAAGTCTATGAATAAATCATTACTGATAGTTGACCCCTTAATGAGAGAAAAAAAAAAGACAAAAAATGAGACACTTCTTGAATCACGTGAATCCCAACATACTCCATCCATGCCCAAAAGGCACCCTAAGTTTGGTATACTGGCAACTGTGTATTGCCATATCAACATTAGAAAAATCTCATAAGTCGGTTGATAAAACACACAATAAAAACTACTTTAAATACTTTAAATATAATTGAAATGTACAGCATTTGAGACTAATCTATATTTAATAAATATTTTACATTATCATTTAGTGCATGTAGGTGGTCATCCTTTATCATATTTAAAAGCTTAATTAGAAAATACTTAAAATCTGACAAAAATATCACTGAAAACATATAAATATCATTTTGTAATTCAAACAGGCATTTACTATAATCATCGCTAATGAGCAAGAAAATAGATATAAATAGAATCATCATCTTAAAATAAATACATCATGATTAAACTGAATTGAAATGGTGAGAAAGTGTTTATAAACATCAAGCTCAAGATAGATTTTAATAATCTCACCGTTATTATCTTTGCAAATCTGTTGGAGATAGGCATCTTTCTCCCCCCCTACTTTTTCCACCAGAATAAAAATTTGAAATGTAAAAACATGAATCTAGCGCTCATCGTTTGATGATCTGCTTCCTTCATGTGATCTAAGATGCACACCTTTGTTAAATCTCACCAAAAGTGCATATACTCAATAGCTTATTCTCAAGCTTTTTTAAGAAGTAAATGAATAAATTCGTGCTTTTTTAAAAAACAAAATATAAAGCAATTGTTGTGACCTGTACATAGTTTATATTTAGGCGTGTCATCCATCAGCTGCTTCCTTTACAGTCTCTTTTAGGTGGCTTGCTTTGACTTTCACTGCAAAAAATGAATACAACAAATGGGGATATTTGAAAAGATGAAGGACGGATCTATTAGGTGAAGCTGGATCGAAAAATAATACCACTGCTAAAATCTGAAGTATGGCTGAAAACAACAGATCTATGATTCACTAAGTGAGGAGATTTTTGGTGTAAGTCACAGGCAAAAGAAGAAAAGTTCAAACCAGGTTCGTTTCAAGCCAAGGCTGGATCATAGGTTTATAGCGCCCACTTAGCCTCATCTTTTGCAATTGCACTTGTTAGAGCTCTGGGGGACAAGGTTGAAAAGGTTTCAGACAAAAAGTTGTGCGTCTATGTAGTCTCACTATGCACACTTTTATGTATAACCAATATCTGAAGCACAAGCTCAGAGGTATCAGAAAGTTTTTGTAAATCTGTTACAACCCACTTCAATCCCTTACAAATAAGGGATTGTTTCAAATGAGAAATAATGATGATTTGTCAGTTTATCTTGATGATCCTTTTGAATTCAATAATAATTTTAAAATGTAATCCTATTTTGACTACTTTAAAGCTTGTATGTGTAAACGTTGGCTACTGATAAATTACAGCAGAGAAAGTAAGTTTGTCAACATTTTTCTTAGTAAATGTATTTCTAATGGGGCCAGTTATGTAAAATTTACTTTAAATATTTGTTCTGACCCAAATAATCAAATCAAATTAGTCCATAAGTTTAATTATGTGTAATAAAGTGGACTAGAACAGGGTATTATCACTGAAACAAAATGGGGTGTATTTTACTATGAAACAGGTTGCCTTCTAGTATAGAAACTCATCATGTTCCTCATCAGTGCAGATAATATCAGCAAGTTTAGCTCTAATATATGGCCAATAAAAATATTTCTGATTGTTGACATGTTGTATAAATACCACAATGGGTAAAACCAAAGACCCTAAAAAAATGATTGTTAAATTAAAACCTAGTTAAGCTTTGGCTATCTGACTTTTTTGAGCTTATCATGTTAGAATGTCATTGCCTCATCAAAGACGTACCTGAAGTGTTGCTTTGATTCTTTCATGCATTAATTCTTTGTGCACTTCACACAACCATTTGGGGGCGCCAAAGCGCTTGCTTGCACTCATGCTGCCCTTTCCATGCAGTTCATCTCGGAGTTGCAGTCCCCAAGATGAGATTCCACCTCACAGAGCATCCATCCCCCATGCCTTCCCCACTCAGCTCCTTCAGACTAGCGCCATCAGCAATTAGCTAACCCCTGGCGGAATTGCGCACCTCCTTAGCTTATCATACAAATTTCTTTTCAATCCAAAGCTCCAAAGAACTTTGTTAAAGGCCTAATGAAAAAAAAACATTGTTGAGATGAGGTGCTGAAGGTGGAGTGTCTGAAAGAACAGAAGCTTTTAAAGAGACAGAGGCCTGATTTCAAGGTGGTAAAATGTGAAGTCAAATTGCATTTTAGTCTTGTTTGTATATATTATTTTTTATAACAACTGAAGGAAATAGTTACTTGATTGTTCTATAAACTGGCACTATGTGCCCAAAAAATGCACAACACAGCCCCTTTAAAACCGGTTGGAGAAATCTACCAAAACATTCAAGAATCTGATGATCATTCAAGGGTTGATTTTTCAGCAAGTTATGGTCATTATAAAGTAAAGCAAACTGATGGAAAAAGATCTGAGTTCATAAAAGACTACCGCAAAATCCTTTAGGATCTTTATAGACAGTAGTCGATGCAGAAACTGGTCAAACATCAACAATGCATGAACCTACTTTCTCCAGAAGGACTGTGTCTTGAAGCTTCATTTAGGAACAAAGATTTTCTGGTGATTTGTTATTAACTTCAGTAAGGGCTTTCAGTACTCAATTCTTCTGTCTTTCCACTTTACAACACAATTTCATTTATGGATGTACTTTGTTAAAAATCCATGGATTACTTGGGTTGTTGAGAGAGATAGAAGTATCGATATGTTCAGTTCTCATTTTCTCTGCTGGAGATTGTCACCTTTTAAACCTGGTAGTGTTTGAGTATCAGGATTCCATGATGAATAAGAAAGGCTTTAAAGTGAAACCTTTGCAGCAATTGTGCTGATGAAAAACTACAAAATGAGTTGAATATCTCCTTCCTTGTCCCTTTTCTGTGTTTCTTGGATTTAACAGTGCCTACCACACATTACAGGTAGGATAACAGTAGACTTTCTGTCTAGTGTGGTTGTGATATGTGTTGCAAAACAGTGACCAATGTCTACTTGATGTAAATTAGGTTGGTGGAAGACCTACAAGACAAATATAACTTCCATTTCCATGGCACCCAATTGTAAGTTACATTGCTACAAGAGGTACCAACTAGTCTAAATTCATTACTCTTTCTTTTAAGTGATGTACACAGACCTTCTGAGTCTTCTGCCCTTTTCTATTATTTGCTCAGAATAAAACAATGCTCAATGCTGATCACACCTAAACCTTTCCATACCTAAAATGTAAGTGAATAAAGTATAGATATGTTCCAAATCAGCATCAATGTGCAATTTCATCCTGCTATAACTTGGCCCTTTTCAGTCTTCACCCAGGCCCTAACAATGTGTGAGGGCGCCAGTGGGCCCTTGTCACGTGTAGTTTTGTCTATCGAAGCTGCGGAAGGCTGATGGAGTTGCCAGCTTCCTTATAGACAGACTGTCAGTTTTGGCTGTGTCGGGTCTCGCTCCGGACTTGCTCCTGAGGAAAGGGTATCTGTGCCCCGCAAGACCCCGTCCCCCAGGCCCAGGTCCCCTGTCTGCTCCCAAACCCGGTCCCCTCTCCATCCTCTCGCTCACTGACAGGCTCTTCCGATGAGGAGGAGCCAGAGTGAGTGAAGGATGGGAGTCATCTGAGGAGCAGCTGTTTGCTCGCTCCAGCCTGGAGAGGGTGGAGCAGAGAGGAGCTCCGCTGGGCCTGCCGAGGCCTGTAATGCGAGGAGTATCGGAGGCTGGAATCAGGTCCTCGGGGTCCTCGGGGTCGGACTCTGTGTGACTTAGCTCTGCCTCTCTCTCCGGGTGAGAGGAGCTAATGTCTGACGGCTTATCAAAGCTGAATGAGGTGGATCCTCCTGGTGAGTGTGAGCATTCTGCAGGAGTGTATGGAGATGATACACAGCGGGTGTCAATGCAGTCAGTGATGCTGGTGTATTCTGCGGCCTTCACCTGGACTCCTGCCCCTAGCCCACCGTAACAGCCTCTCGGCGTGAACATGAGGCTGTGGGACTTGACTAGAGGAGGCTCATCAAGGAAAGCTGTGCCTGCTGTAGAGAGGTAGCGGCTGCTCTTGGAGCGCTCGAGCAGCCCTGCGGAGGGAGGTGGAGACGGCTCCGTATCCCAAGGAGGTAGGGTGGTGTCTGGTAAGAGGCTTGCTGAGCACAACGACAAATCAACAGCCGCGCTGTCGTCATACATAGCTCCAGTCGTTCCACTGCTGCCTGCGCCGCCCTCCGAGTGCCTGTCGCCCAAGCCGCTAGTAGCCGTGCTGCTGAAGTCACGGCCTCCTGGCAGCACCGTCTCTATGATATCTGACTGCAGTGAGGAATCTCTCTGGAGGGGTGGGACCACACGGAGAGGATCAAGAAAGACCTCGGCTGGCCCCACCTCCTCAGAGGTCGAGACGTAGATATCAATGCATGACGACGGACGGTGCTGCTGGGAAACCGACAGCGTCGCCAGTGGGAGGGGCTTAGACTCCTTGGTGGCGGCAGCTGAAGACACAGATTGCGAGCTATTAGCTCTGTGGAGACTGAGCGAGCGCTCCTTAAAGAAACTTTCAGCTCGCTCAGCCCCACTTGCACGTTCGATAGCACGTCCACCCCCGACATAAAAAGAGTGACTCCTTGCCCGAGCGGTGATGCCAGTAGGAGAGGGAGGGGACATGGAGCCCTCAGCTGCTCCCTCCAATGCCTCCTGAAGGCGGTAGGCATTCCCCTCTGTGCTGTTAAAGCTGCTTTGGCGGAGGATGTATGCAGACTCCGGGCACTCAGCTTGGCGGAGTATGTACGCTGAGTCTGTGCAGTCAGATGAGGTCCGGGAGCGTGCTTTGTTGACCTCCACACGCTCAACACCCGTCACGCGCTCCAGAGCCACAGCAATCCGCCCAATTAGATCCTCCATCTGGGCCAGGCGAATATCCACAGTCTGCAGCGATGCTTTCATAAAGTGTTCCCTCTCATTGACCTCTTCCAAACGCATAGCCATGTTCTCCACCCTGATGAAGAGGAGAAAATTTAGCACTGAGTTGCATGATAGGTAATCACTTCATTGAAATATCAAAATTTTAATAAACTTTAATATTTGTACTAGTTTGTATGATTTTGTATTTACTCTTGTTTCTCTTAATTGGGGTGATTAATTTATTCTCTCTAGTAACATCTAGAAATGTTTTGAGCTCATTTATTTAAAAAAAATATACTCAGAACAACCAAATAATGGCAAATTCAATATGTCTGTCATGTGGAAGTTACAGTTTAATTACAGCTGCTCTGAGAAAGCTACACAGAGCTTTAATATGGCAGAGCTGAAAACTGACCAACACACAATTGAAACTGACAAACTAGGAATGAAAAGTATTGACAATGATAATGGAGAGTATTGATGACGAAATAAGCCGAGAGGATGCCTCTGACAGTTATGGAGGAGTGATAAAGAAAAAAAAAAGCCATTGTAAGAATTAAACATGTTGAAAAAGTTATTGTGGTGAAACAAAAGAAAATTACCATTTCAAATCAACTTATAAAGTGCAATGTTTGTCATTTCTTGTTAAAGTTTATGGGAAGATGGATGGAGCTTAAAGATAGTGCAAAAGTGGAAGAACATTTGTTAGAGGTTGCAATAGTCTTGAGTCTGGGGCAGAGGTTCACCTTCCAGCAGAAAAATGACTCTAAACATACAATCATGAATGGTTAAGTTCAAGCATATTATTGTGTTGCAATAGTCTAGTCAAAGTCCAGACCTAAATCTACTTGAGGGCTTTTGGTTATAAGTACATAATTTCTTTCCGTGGAGTCTTTCTATTATATACGACTGAAACATTGCCTTTATCTTGACACTGTAGGGCAACAAATCAGTCTGTAGATGTGGAAAGCAGGCACAGCCAAACCTCCAAATGACTTCCAGCTAAACTTGCAGAGAAATTTAAAAATACATTCCACTTTTTTCAGATTTTTTGAATAGCTTTTGAAATCAAGCATTGTTTCCCTTTAATTTCAAATTAAAGAACTTAATGTCTGATGGTCTGTCAGATAAAATCCAAAGTAAATACATGATATTTTGTGGCTGCAATGTAACACATTGTAAGAAAGTTCAATAGTAGCAAATATTTCTGCGTCGCACAGTAGATTATTTCTGTGTCACATCTGACCTTTCAGATGTGACTCTGATCCGTTCATCATTTGATGAGTGGAATCTGTCGTCTTTCTCTCTGAAGTACTCTTCTATGCATTGCTCCTCAAAGTCATGAACTTTCTTCAGCTCATCCTCAGTGATGAATAACTCTGCGAAATAAAACAAAAAAAGGAAAAATGTAAATGTTATTCTATTACCAAAACAGCCACAGCCACTTACTCTGTCTTGATAATACTATAAATATATTCGCATAAATGATGAAATAACAAGCTTAAAACAAATTACAAATTTGAATGCTGAACATTTTGCTCTTTGCACTCAGTTTTAAGACTTGGTTTTATGTTTATCTTCCACTCACTCAATCCATAGTCCCTCTCGTCGTCGTCATGCTTGCGCCAGCGGCAGCATAGATGTTTTAGGACCATTGTTATGTGGCTGAAGATGATGAGGGGTGGAGGAAGGACCGGCCGTTCGTGGAATGTCATGATTAGCTGGTAGCGCTGGAACTTCCACACCTGGTTTGAGATGGACTTTACCTCAAAAAATGTGTTGCTGTGAATAATGAAAAACAAACATAAGTTTAGCCATGACTGATTTAGAGATGTGACAATAAAGTGAATCCAGTCATCAAAGATGCTGCATTTAATGCTGACCATCACATAAACTAAACCTTAAACTTGACCGTTTAAGGTTTGGGTGACATAACAGTCTGGGCTTTTTTAAAGGATGCCTAACAAGCACGCATAAAATATTTTGATTCAAGAATTGACATGTCTTTCCTTATCTATGAATCGATTTAAAATTTTAAAGGCCAAAGTATATACAGAGCATAATTGCTAGAAGTCTTCAACACATTTGGGACATAGTTCTTGGAAGATATTTAAACTTTCCTCGCCTCTTCAGTGAGTTTTCCACCAGCCACAACAATTCATGTTTTAAGTTGAGGCTTCAACATGATTATTAGAGAATCATACATAATTCTGCTGAAAACCCACTTGGTTTTGAGTTTAGATTAAGTTAAAGATATTTGAGCTCCTTCTTCCATAATTACATTTAGTTTGCACAGTGTACCAGTACAATGTACTGTACTTCTCCAACTATACTCTGTCTTATTGTATGCAAACAATAAGATGGATCTAAATTATATGAATCTAAATATTTCAATATCATAAAAACCAATCAGAGGTTTACATACTTAAACACTGCTATGAGCAGGTTGACAAGCAGTATGTTGGCCACCAGCAGGTAGCAAGCCATGATCGCAGGTACAATCCAAGCACCAGTCTTACATGGTGGCAGGGTCACCACCACCCCATCCTCTGTGGTTATATTCTGGCCGCAGGGAGCTGCACAGTGTCACAAAATGAACAAACACACACTTTGATACAAGGCAAATAAAATATATATATAAATATATATGTATATATAGACTTTTATTAATCCATCTTTTCATGGATATCTTGGATGCATGTTTGAAAAAATAAAATAAAATAAAAAAAAATACACATGCAGACGCATATATTAAACCAGAAATAAAAATATAATCAAAAGTTAAGATGCATATTAAAGAAAATAATGCCCTATATTACACTGAGTGGAAACAGTAAAATTAAAGGCAAGCAGGTCTGAAGTATCAAACAAAGTACATAAAGACATTCTGCAAACAAACAAGAAGCATACTTTATTTTCATGCTTCTTTTATTGAGAAAGGAATTATCATAATGGCAAGGGCTCATGTACAGAAATGGAAATAAAAAAAAATCCACAGAACAACACATTTACCATGTGTTGTTCCCGTTTTTGTTTTCAATATATTTAAACGTATGTTTAAAATATATTGCCACATGTGAGAGCCATAACTTCATTCTGCAATGGTTGATTGCTCTGGGATCTATCTGACATGTATTTAGGAAACAATGTATGTTTTTCCATCCATGATGGTTCAGTTGCTGTGGCTGATCTAGGGAACATTCAGCATTTGTCCTTGGTTTGTTTGCCGTGGAGATTCAGTGTGGTCATGCTGTCATTTCTCGGTGCTCAATTTCTTCACACAATGTAGCCCAAAGACAGAGAACTGAAGTAATTTCTTTCTTTCTTTTTTTTTTTTTTGTCCACAAATTTTGGACACAAAAACTCTGACAACTGAACCACGTGAAAAAACAGATTACAGATGATGAAGGGTGAATAATAACTATGTCCTGATATGGATGTGCGCTTCATTCAAATGTAATGTAATGCTTTTAGTAAGGTTTTGAGATCAATCACACAAAATGTTGGGTTTAGACAGTGAAATATTTCAGCAGTGGCGCTACTGCTCCATTGAGAAGCTGAGCTACAGTTGAAGTATTATGATTAGTGTGAAATGTGGTATAATCATGGTCAGTTCTCCAAATTAAAGAAATTTAGGAACAACCAACAAAATTGAGGAAAGAGGCATCAAGGAAATATCAAGTATTTGATGGTTTCTCTTGATGTGGCAGCTGACCAAAAGCAAAGACCTAAGACAGGTAAAAATATCTGAAACGTTCTGCTGCCCTCTGAGCGACCATTGCCAAAACTAGTGGGAGTAAAGTTGCTTACAGGGTATATCCTTAGGTCAAGCTACTAGCTCTTCTCTTTAAGCATTTGGATCAGAATCAGTTTTTCTTGGACTGATTGGTCAAAGTAGTAGTTTAGTAGCTGACCTGACATACCGTCACAGTGGCAACTTTAGCCTTACAGCAAGAAAACACATGCATACTTTTTTTCTCAAGTGGCCTCGAGTGGTGGGACTTTGCATGACATGGTGGTAACGCGAGGATGACGAAGGAAAGGTAGGATTGGTAAATGTGGTTAAACTGAGGTCTATATGTATAGATTTACTGGAATTTTGAGTGGTCAGAGCAATGTGGGATGGACCACTACTACGCCAGGTTCCGTGCGTTCGTAAGTTATTTTCGACCAGCCAGAGTTTGTCATTCAGCCTTTGCTGTACCTTCTTACTATGCATATCTGAAACAAAGAATGGAAACATTATTTCAGATCTCTTCTCTTTGGGCCACTCCTCACATTCAGTTCACACCTTTATTTACAGTACTATACAAATAGACAACAGAACAGCACACAGACACTCTTTGGAAAACTGTCTGAAATACGCTTCCAAAATGCCTCTTACGTCATTCTTACGTCAGAATGTTAACAGGGTACAAAATAATTCAGAGACAAAAAAAGTCGTGATAAACTGTGAAATCTTGTTATATGGTGAACAACTTGTCAAGAATTACTCCTACAGTAATAATGGAATTTGTCCTATTTACCGCACCTTGCAAATATAAGTACTTCCCTTGAACTTTTTCACATTTTATAACATTATAGCCGCAAACTTCAGTATTTTTTATTGCCAAGTTATAAGTCAATCCTTTTGGGGACATGTGAAACAACTAAATATTTATATTATATTTTATTTATGTGCTTGTTTCATAAAGTAAACCTGAATTAAATGTATTTAATACACAGAAAGCAAAACCTTTTGATGACAATGGCTTACAGACAAATCGAAGATAGAAATTGTTACTATATCTATCTTCATGTATGGACTGAAAAGTGTGTTTAAGGCTTGAGACAATATTTTACTATCTAACTGCTTCAAATTCTTCAGTCTTACATCTCTATGTTCTTTATGCCACTGTTCTGATGTTCACCAACAAACCTCTGATACCTTCACAGGCATTTTACATTAAATTACACATAAGTAGACTTTAGCCTCCCTATACTGTATGAAAAATGTTGCGATCCATGAACATTTCTCTTTCAATTTTCAAGTTTGTCTTGATAAAATGTGAAAAAGTTCAAAAAGATGAAAAATGTTTGTAATACACTACTTTCTCTCATATGTATATTTATTTAAAAACACAGTCCTGGAGCTACAGAATGTGTCAGATTTAGTTAAGATTTATCTTATTTGCTCAGGAAGTCAGAAATGATCTTTCTCCAAATTCAAAATGAATTTTCTCCACTAGCTGACACCCAAAACTTACGGTCAATCTGGTCAGCAAACACCTCCCCATAGATCATCCAGTAAGGCATGAAGAAAATGTTTCTGGCCAACATCCAGGACGGGTCTTCGTTAGGATTGAGGATGGCCTGACGTGCCACCCCAAAACTCATGAGCACTACCAACATGATGATGACAAAATACATCATGTCGATCATCTGACAGAGGGAGGGAGACAGGAAGGGGAATTGTCAAGAAATGGTAGGATTTTCTACTTTTCCAATGTTCAAATCATGTCAATTAATATTAACAAATCTAATGCATTGAAAACACAGATTTGAAACTGTTTTCATATTGGTAAAACAACAAAAAGGATAAAAATGTCTATACAAATATTATATCTTCATTGAATTCTTATCTTAAGAAGCACATCTTTTCATTTCTGTGCATTTATTTAAAATCCCACATTGAGAACTAATGTTTTTAATTAGTGAAACACTTTCTTGGTACCCTGTCATCATTTTGTCATTTTGAACAACTATTTTTAGTAGCATGAGACTTAATCCTTCAAACATATTTCCTCTTAAGGGACAATGAGCTGAGGGAGATATATTTGACTATTTCCAGGAGTCCAGTGCCTTAAGAAGACAAACAGGCCTATATATTCATCCCCTTTTAAATTCCTGATTTACCTTGACTGATTGTTGACAGAAAGCCTCGTCGTAGTGCAAAGCTCTTACGATTGTAGTCCCACCAATATTTAGAAAACTCCCCATGTTGATGTTGTTACTGTTTGAGAACTATGGAGCCTCAAAGATAATAAGATGCCACTCTTTGTTGCATTTCTCTATGAGTGAGGAGTGGAAATATTTCCACCTCGCTCCACATTCTCCTGACAATTTGAACAACAACAAATTGAATTTTCTTTGGATCTCCATGCAACCTCGCCAGCCAGATTTCCAGCTGTTTTATTTTAATTGAACTGTCTGATGTGTATTACTGCAAACATTTGTGTAATATTACTTTTATTCCCCAGGAAAACATCAAGCCGATAATTTAATGTTCTTAGTATTATTATTAAAAAAAGTAAGCCATTATTACTATGTTTACACAGTGTTTACATATTCTGTTGAGCCAGTCAAAAGCAAAGCAAACAAGTGGATTGGTTGGTGTGCCACAAAGTGTGACAAAGCACCATCCGCCCCCCTAATCACGTAAATAGGCCTATGTCAAAATTAAAGGTTGGGTTCTGTAAAAATATGTTCTTCACACATTTGAAGCATAATATGTGTTTCAATAAAAGTTTGATTAAACATGTTTTATGTATATTGCATAATCATATTTGTGAAATCAATTTGATGACAGTTATTTCACTCTTGAGCTGCTTAAAAATATTTTTTTTTCTTTTTGTATGAAATATACATCATGTAAAACATTTTTTACATAATACTGTTTTTTTAGAGAAACAAATTTTTTACTTTTTGCTCTCAGTATAATTTCATCTCCTCACTTACTCTGACACAAAGCCAGCTTATGAAGCTGAAGGAACCCATTACCCAACACCTTGACAGGATCATTTAATGCAAATCCAAATCTCCTCTTCTACCTAACAGCTATTTATCATATCAAAGACTTTAAGTTCACCGGTACACAGCTGGCGTCAGAAGCAGTCAAGCATCAGATAGTTACTGATTTAGATCTGTGTGCGTAAATCTGAGGCTCTGATCTTGAACTTGTTGAGATCAAACAAACAAGTTAAGAGTCTCGGGGGTTCTCTTTGAACTGGTTCAGAGATTATACACTTGCTATCATGACTAAACAGATGTCAAAGAAGAATTTATTACGAGGCAAAAATAATGATAAAGACAGGAGGCAAAAGAAGTAAACTCCACCCCCGTCTCCTCTCACCATCTTGCCAATCATCATCACGTAGGGCCCCAGGTACTTGTTGACTCCGAAGATGTCGAGCAGCCGAATGTACCAGTAGATGATGTTGACGCAGTAGATGACCCGCCCGTAGTTCATGAGCGGTGGCTCCTGGAGGCGTAGGACCATACCGACGGAGAAGATGAGGATGGCCATGAGGTCAGTGATGTTCCAGTACTCTTGTAGCCACACCTTTACCTTCTGTAGCAACTTTCCCGGCTCTGACATCAAGATCTAGAAAACAGCACGAACATACAGTCACTTAGTACTGGTTATAAGTCGGATTCATAAACTCTCAAGCTGAGAAGCAGAATGGTGGAAATAAATGACCTGAAAAAGTGACAGAAATAGGAGAGTAGAAATGCATTTCAACATGATCACCATAAGATGGCAGTATGGGTTCACCAATCAGAGAATTTGACATCTGAGGAAGTACATACAGTGTTGCTGAAAATGATGTGACACAATGATTTATACATTTCATACACTTACTTTAAAAAAGCACAGAGTGGGGCAGAACTTCTCATATGGCCACAAAGTATTTTTTCTGTTTACTCGTTTTTTGTGTTATTTCTGGTTCTTGCTTTCATCTTCATCACCATCCTGCTCCCCTTTTGCTTTTCTTTGATGTGCTTTTTTAATCTCCCCTTTTACAGATCCATCACTGATTTTCTTATGTGTTATGAACTATTTCGTGAAATAGACATAACGCTTGAATCTCCTCTCTCTCACTGCTAAAGCTAATTAAAAGTCTAGGTGCTTTGTGAGTTGTTTATCCTGTACCCAGTAGATATCAATGTATTGTATCACAATCATAATCCATTACCTCTCTCATCTTTTCAATGCCATTGGTGAAAATGTAAGCAATGACAATCCACTCTTGAGGAGAAGGCCACAGGTCCATCTTAACCAGGACAATGTAGTTAAACAACATCAGGTACCCCACATATGCCATCTGCATAAAAATACACAAAGAAGAAAAATAATGAGTGGCATCATATTTTAGTGACATACCTGTTTTGGGTCTTTTCACAGATACAAGCACAATACATGAAATCAAAATACAACCGCATTACATTTATTCAAAAAATAATAAGAAGGGGCAGCACTGTAACTTTTAAAGGGATAGTTCAGGGTTAAAAACAATTAATATGCTACGTAAAATGAATAACTCCCTGATAAAGTGACCACAGGGGCTGACCTAATGGCTATTCTGAGGGAGCCAAAACTAGAGATGCTCTGAGAATCACCTGGTTACTAGGACTGTCCAATTTTAAGATTAAATGGCTCCTTTTGATGATTGGCAGGTTGGAAGATAAAAATCTGATCTTTTTTTTTTTCCAGTCGGGGAACAAACAAGCCATACATAAGTCATAACTATTCATGCTGACAGCAAGACTCCTCTGAGTGGAAGTTGTCACTTCCACTGCGCGAAAAAGAATAAGTAGGCAATTTCCAGGTTCAGTGAGGTGTTAGGGGAACCCTAAAACAAGTAAAAGTCTTCTAGAAAGGAAACTATTTTTCTACAGTGATGTGTTGCCTGTTGATACAAATGGCTACAGTTTGGAAATATATTTCACAGCAAAATTAATTTATCACAGTAAATAGTTGTTCTGTTTTTAAACTAAATTCTGCCTGTCGTAGGACATGCTGGATTAGGAAATGCACATGTAAATGACTGACGTAGTGCTATGTATATTAATAGTGCTAATTGATAATATTAATTAGCAATTAGCAAGACAGCTTGAAATGTGAACTCCCTAATCATACTGCATTTGCTTTAAAGGAATAGTAAAATCCTGTTTATCTTTAGAGTCCTAATATAATTATCTCAATGGAATGGCATTTTCATGATATTGTACAGTTACAATACATGATTAAGCAATTGAACAGATAACTGAATCAGTTCATTTTCCTCTAAATGTAAAGTTGGGCTAATAAATAGGTGTTGTTACTGCAGCAATGTGAATTTACTAAATTAAGGTCTGTTGTTGGCAATAAAGACTTCTTAAATTGGTTTATAAGATTGAAAGTCAAGGTGATACTTCTCAGAAATAATGATATAAAATATATCTGTATAATATTTGTGCACATTTTTATTTGATTATCGACGGCTGAATTTATTTTTAATCAGCGTCTTACATTTTTCTATATCAAAGCACATTCAGTAGCATTTAAATTCTGATGAACAGCAAAACCTTTGACATATTTAGAAAGCAAATTAAAACAACAATAATGGAAATAGGAACAGCTCATTCATTAGCTGCAAGTCAAGCATACCAATGATGCAAGTCAGTGAAGAGACTGTAATATGGGTGTCAGAGACTTTTCTCATTAAATCCCACATGCATGAAAAACATTAAGCCTGATTTATAAAATCATGCGATCGCTCCACAGCTGGTGACAAGGAAGAATATAAATGACATAATAAGCCGAGGATCAAATTCTGAGAAAAAAAACAACCATCTGCTCCTTAGACACAATACATCAGACACACTGTGCAACATTCCTCTTTAAAGTTGCAATAAATAACTTTTATAAAAACATGTTTTATTACATATTTGCTAGATCATTCAAGTGTAGGAAACCACCATGTCCTGCCAGTATAATATGAGACAGAAAATCTCTTATTATACAAAACTTAAGCTCCTCTACCTCCTCTATGTGGTCCTACAGCCATCTAAAGAAACACACAGTTCCCCATTAGAAGCACTGAAGAAGAGTCAGGAGGAGTGTCTTGGCACTGGCAATCAAGCTAGTGTATGCACTGCTCAAACCCTCCTCCATACAGTTTGCACAAGCTAAAGATTTCCAGTTTGCTGCAACAGTGCGGATGGCGGAGAAACGACTTACAGTGACAGGCCCTTATCAGTGGCCATGCTAACTAGACTAAGAATTCAGTTACATACTGCAGATTTAACATCAATTATGGAAAAGGGAGGTTGGTGAAGCGCAAGAGTGAAGGAAGAAAATAACAAGAAAACAGTTGAAATATTTTGTTAGCTCGAATAAAAAGTAAAAACTTCTGCTGGTGCTAATGAGATGTTTCCATTGAATGAGCAAATTGAAGGCATTCAAGTGTAGGAAACCAACGATCAGCTTGTATGAACTATTATTCACTTCCTCACAGGCAGAAATGACACCAAACAGAAGTTGCACGCCAAAGGCAACAAAAGGAGCAAAATCTTGACACATGCTGCTCATGTTGTTGTCTTTACTATCTAAAGATAAATTTAATTTTTACTTTGTGCACGAGTTACTGGAAGCATTATGTCAGAACATTACATTAGGTTTAAATATGTATTTGTGTTGTTGAATTGGCAGTTTCACAGTAAGTAATTTTAGTTTCCTCGTTCTTTCTCTTTTTCTTTTCTCAGCCTGCTGCTTTCAGGAGTCTCCCACTTCTCACTTAACTTTAGCACCTCAGTAATGACACTGCGGAACAGGAGCCTAATGACAACAGAGGCTGTGTGTGAAAGTAGACATTAATGGCTGCATAGTCAGCAGAAACAATTTCCACACGAGAATGTGGGAGGTGTTGCTGAAGCCGACACTGACCGTATGAAACCAGAACTTGACAATTGGAGCGTTGTAGAACTCATATATCTTGCGTCCCATGGGGATAAGGCGGTGGCGGCTCTGAACCTCCTCAACATCCTTCTTTCTGGATGTCTCTGTGGTTACCTTACCCAGCATCGCCTGGGCGAGTGTGAAGCCCACACGGAGCAAGTGAGGGACGAGGGAGGGAAAGGTGTGAGGATTTCAGGAAAGAAGAGTGTGGGAAGGAATGGAATCGCAGAGGAGATGCAGAATGAGGATAGAGAGGAGGACACGTATTGGAAGGGGAGGAGGTGGGAAAAGGAAAGGTTGGGTGAAAGAAATTTAAACAAAAGTGGAGAAGAGGGTTATATCATGAGCAACAGCAGCTTTTTTTTAAAAAAAAAATAATGTAATCAAAGAAGCAAGCGCAGGCAATGCCGTCATTCCAAGATGTGAAATGTCTGTGTGAGGTGGAGTTTGAGTGAAGGCTGATATCGTAACACGGTATGACGAGGACACAGACACTCATGGATTGTGTCTCAGACAACAATTAGGAGGCAGGAGACAGACAATGAGATAGAGACAGGAAGAGGACAGCGTGAGAGGAGGAAAAAGATAAGACATAGATATCTCATATCAATCTGTGACACAGTTTTTAAATCCATGAGAGAGGGTTCGGAGCCCATTGTTTTTTAATGGGTCATGGTCTTAATGTAAAAGCAACACCATTTCTCTGAGGGAGCTTATCCACAGAATTGGACTGTTAGTTTAAAAGGAACTAAAATATACAGTGTCAGTCAGATGTTTGCATGCACGTCTTAAGGACATGAATGTCATAATAATTTAAACCTCTTAATGATTTATTAGTGTGTTTTTGTATGGTAATTCAACAAGTTTTGCAGATTTTTAATTAATTCATAAAAGTTGAAAATATATACATACTGGCTAAAATGTAAACAAACACATATTTGCTGAAGTGTCCAATCGTCACTTAGCCATGAACAGGAAACTGCTACCGATGTTTCCTGAACATCTGAGATTATTTCCTGTCATCAGATGAGGTCAGATGGTTAAAGCCTGGACAAAAACCTTTGAGTTGATAAAGCAGCCTACATTTATTTACATTTATGTTCAGCTGTGTATTGTATATTGCAATATAAAAGGTGTTTGCTAAATACTCTTTATGCCCTGGAGAAAGAATGGTTGAAATGTAACTCAAAAATGAATATGACATGCATGATAATAATGTGTGTATGTAAACTTTTGACTAACACTGTATGTTTGAGAGCTGACCCAAGCTTTAACATGGTATGCTAGTGCTAAACTATTTTTTTTAAATCAGCCTGAAATCAAAGAAAATGTGTCTACATGTAAGTACACAGGGATGTGTTTATCTTCCAAATGTGTGAAACGTTGTTTTATCCCAGCCACACACTCACTGGAATTTTGGCAGTAACAGATAAAGGTGCCCGTGTGAAAGTCACACCATGCCTTTACTGCAATCAACATGCTCTTTACTCATTCAAGATGTCACACAAGCATTGAAACTCATTAGAGAGTAGCTCATCTAAAATATCTGAGGATACAGCAATACAATCTCCCTCTGTGGTGAAGCGGTTGGTGTATGAATCTGTCTGCGATTCATAAGAATCTGAAGGTGTGTCTGAGCAGTCAGAAGCCAGGGCAACAACAAATGGATTGTAACAATGCATTCTCTGGCATTGGAAACATGTTTTTTGTTTGTTTTGTTTTATACCAGAGTGCCTCAGGGCCTTCAAGTAAGTGTTACAAGCCCAGTTTTGTATGCATTTGCGCTGGCTTGCTGGCTGGCTTAGCTGTATGCAGATGGAAAGTATGTACAGTGGCTCCGAAGACGTACGATTTCAGTTGAGTCACTTCTTGAGATAATGACTTGATCCAGTTTGGGGATTGAAACGACTTTTCTAATCCCACGTCTTCGCTTGGAAGAAAACAAACTGGATCAGGGAATCATCACCAGACGAACTGAAACAGAACGGATCCTATTCCTGCTGTACATCCATGTCTATGCGGATGGACCAACTCTTCCACTGTGAGCTGGGAGAATGCACTCAGACTCTGCATGATTAAAGCCCTGCAGCATCCAGCAGATACAGTTATATAATGCAAAAGCCTGGGCCTCCCATGCTCAGCAGCTGACATGCTGAGAGATGTGCTGCAGCAAACCATCACTGATGTGAGAGAGTGGGGGGCAGCAATCGGCTGGCATTCAGTACTGTACCTCAATCAGACCTACGTTTGGAGGGAAAAGAGAGGGTAAAGAGAGAAAGAGCAAGAGAGACAAGGAGGATTTACAGGATAAAAGTAAGAAAAAAATAGAAAAGCAAAGGAGTTTGGAAAAGAACAAGAAAGAAAGAGAAAAAAAGAAGGAGAGAGAGAGCAAGGAACACACACGAGGGAACCCACAGTCGGCGACAGACTGAGACGCTACAACTCCACACCAAATCTTTGCTAAGACAACGAGAAACAGGAAAGGCCAGTTTTTACTGGAACTGTCCAGCTGGCCAGAATAGAGAAACAAGTAAGTGTGTGGGAAGCACTGTGTGCACATGGTCGCTCATTTCTCATTGTGGACAATTGGAACAAAAGTAAAAATGCATCCACAAGAGATATTTATAAAGGCACACAGAATATGGACTGTGATCAGTTCTGGAGCCAAATAAAGTGTGTGTGTGTGTGTTGTCTTGTTTGATTATGTGTATAATTTCTGAGATGCGGGGCTGAGGTGGGTTCTCTCACCACAGAGTTGTACTGCGTCTCACAGTAAGATCTTACTGTGAACTCCATGTCCTCCTCCTCTTTTTCTTTGACTGGTTTCTCTGGCTCCTCCTCCTCCTTCTCCTGCAGGTACGTGTCCTGATCCTGCGGCATGTAGGACATCTCATCCTTGTTTTTGAACTCTAGGCTCAGGATGGACGGTGGAAGAAGCAGGCCTAAGATGACCTGATTGACAGATAAAATGAAAGGAAATGAGATGATGAAGTGCTGTATTTGACAACAGCAATATACTGAATATACAGTGTGTACAAGTATTTTTTGAAACGCTAATTTTATTGTAGTTTATTGGAATTCAATGTGATGTCTGTATAACCCTTATTTCAGAGAGCCAGCATGATTACTGTCCTGCTGCGGGTCAATGAGAGCAACACCTGGATCAGACAGAAGTGATACAGATATGCTGCTCTCACTTCTGACATGCAAAATCAGAGCAGCACAATCTCAGCAAGAAGAGCTTACAGTAGATCTGTGGAAAAGAGAGGAAGCTGGTTAACACCATAATCAAGTGTGCTCTTATCTGTCAGCAGCTGCATAAACCTGCAAACATTTATGATAATTGCCCATAGTTTATCACAACGGGAAATTCAATGACTGCAGTGTCAGCGCAATACATCAATAATGCAGCATTAGTTAAATGAATATGAGCTGTTACCAGTGAAATATTTATCAGTAACTCTTCACAAAAAAGGACTTGTTTTTTCTTGTTGTCCCATCAAAGGGTCAAAGGTGAAGACCGATCCTGTCTGACTTATTTAAGCATAAAGAAAGATGTGTACTACTTGTTGGGGAGTAATTTGAGAACAAGAGTGTTGAGGACGGCTGCTCCTGCATCTAATACAGCTAAACCATATGCAGACTTATTGTTTTGACATTGTTATTTTATTGTAAACTCCCAGGGCCATAAAATCTTGTTTGTTCCACTTGTGGTTTCTCCTTTGTCTTTCTGCTCCGCTGAGTTTGTCCTGGCAGTGCACTCTCACTTCCTCCAGCGAACGACAACAAATATTTACTGAACTGCAAGGTCTGTCTTGCTCTCCAGCAAAAAGGCCAGTACACCAGTCTGTTCCATTGTCCCACTTCATTCACCATGTAGAGGAGTGTAATGCCACACTTCTGGAAATCCTGAGGCAAGTCTTCATTATAAATAGTCATGACCTTTCTGGTCACCCTAAAATCAAACATCTGGAGAACCCAGACAAGCAAATATCATTCAAAATTCAGCCAATGGTGTTCGATAAAAAATTTGCTCTTGACTCAGCATATCAGAATCCATGCAAGTTTTATTGGACTTTTTTTTTTTTAAATTAAGGTCAAGTCATTCATACCCTCTGACTTAAGAGACTTAAACAAATTAAGAAATGACAAGCGTACTCAGACTGGTCACAACCCCAATATCTCTGTTTAACTGTTATCAACTGATTAGCATCTTTCTTTTGCCTGAGCAAAAGGCAAAAGAATTTAAATCAGTTCTACCAAATTAATAACATGCATTTTAAACATTCCTATATTCACGTGTGATACATTAAACCACAAGAGAGGTTGAGAACAAAAAGCACCAGTCAAACGTAAACTGCAGGATTAAACATTTCTTTAAAGGAGAAATGTTTGCCTAATTTTCTTCACTTGGAAGCAAAAACAAAACCAGATGATTTTATTTTATTTTTTTCTAGAAGCCCTCACCCTTCTTTTTGGCATAGTATACTTCATAATCACCACATCATAGCTGTGGAATTGAATTTTTATGTAATATGTTATACTTTTCATTAACTCTAATATTGTTTAGGTAAACGACACTTTGGCTGTGTAAGCGTTCTCTGAGAGAAATGTACAAGCTGTAGATGCTCCATATTTGCTCAGCAATTATACCAGTCAGGTTATGCCAATTATTAAATGCTGTGAAGTTCATAAGTGATGCATCAGGGTGAACTACATATCTGCACTTGTCATCCTACCTTGAGGCCTGAATTTTTGCGCATACGGAGACGCCCCATCCACATGTCGGTCAGCAGCATCTGACTGCAGGTATGGGCGATGAAATCTCGGTGTTTAGCTGCTACCGCCAGCTGCAGGCAGGTGGCGTTGCTCCAGTTTTTGAGCTCGTATGTCAGTAGCTTCATTGCCATCTGCTCATCCTGTTTATAGGACTGGTCTAGGAGCTCCACAGCTAGCTGGGCGAACTCTCTGTGAAACGTCGTAGAAAACGTAAAAAGAGAAAATTGTCTTCATTATTTGAGTGATGTCCTGTAGTCTGTAGCAAGGAAGTTAAAGCTATTGGGCAAATGGGTCCTTTAAATTAACAATAACCCTAAACATCCAAGTGGTTAGTGATTATCAAAGCTGTGTGTCTTTTTTGTTGTATGTAAACTTCTAGTTATAAACTACCAGCAATAGAAAACAACCACCCATCTTCTTATCGGTAAGCGGAAACATGACCAACTATCACCCGTCTTTTATGACTTCTGGTGCCAAAGAGGGGTGATATTAAAACGTTGTTGCTTGTTCTAAAATCTCTCAATGGGCCCTCGTTGTAATATTTCACTGATGGGCTAATCCGGTCAGGACTCTCACACTGACAAATCAGCTACTTGTAGAAATCCCAAAAACTGGTTAAAAAACATAGAGGCAATCAAGCCTTCAGAGGGTCATAGAATATTGAAAAATGTGCTTTAATTCTTCTCTTGATTGATACGAGCACAAAGATGTTCACATTGGAAAACACTCACTGTGTTTCATGTGCATTTGTGACATTGGGAGTGATAGTTTGGTGAAGCCCCAAAGCAGTGTGTTTTTTTTAACCAGCTGTGTTTGCAACTTAAACATTTTCCTTGATTTATAATATTTCCATAGTTTATATCATCACCTTAATTTGAGTGTATTTCTTTCAATAACATGATGCATGTACGTGTCACATCCACCAAAAAGGGCTGAGATGCAGTAGAGAAGGCTAGTTTCAGTATGCGAGCATCCATCTTTACTAAATCCCCAACTCGATCCCTTCAAGTTCCTTCAACTTCATGTCACCCACCTGGAGTTGTGGTTGAGTTCTTGGGAGATGTCATCCACCATGTCATTCTCAGACGCTTCGTGTGCCATAGCCTTACACAGCTTACATGCAACCAGGGCCTTGGCCATTGCTTCCTCGCCATGCTGCCAAAAGAACAGTGCCATCTTCTGGCGCTTCATGAGTACAGCCCACACCATGAGCTCGTGGAAGGGAAAGGGGAAGTGGTTTATCTCGGGATCATCCAAATCAATGTCCACCTCTTCCTCTCGCTTACGTGTCGTCTTCTGCCGGCCTCTCCGGATTGGCATGTCATCCTGATAGAATGAAGTCAAGAGTGTAATTTTATACTTTTTCTTACATTAAGCCTAATTTAATTTATTTAGGTTTTCAGAAGACAGTAAACTGAAAAAATTCTAGCAGGTTTTTTGACCAAAATATTGCAGCTGTCCCACAAGTTCCTATACAGATTTCCATCCAATTCATTTTAGAGTAAGCTAAGTTTTTCCTTTAATAGGTTGTGGAGCACAAAACTCACATTGAGCTATTGAACTATTTTTTTGATGGGGCTGCAAAATACCATTTGGCATATTTTACAAGTAGGAGTATTTGAGGGCAGCGTGAGAGAAACAATAAAGAAATGAGTGGATTGCAACCTTCAAAGAACAATACTCACCTCCATCCCCAGCAGCTTCAGTGCCTTGGGCTATAAAGGTGACAAAAGCACATTTAGATTAAATCCTGCTGATTGTATTTTCAGTGCAATAAGACATAACTTACAAATTTAAATGGGCTTCCGTTCAAGAATTGTCTAAAGCCGTACCAAGAGATTGCATTTATATATTTGAGGAAACAATGTCCTGTTTTACATGCTTTACAGCAAAGTGTCTTTACAGTACAGAGTATCTGTCAAAAACCAGGACATGTATGAATTATGCATTCATGAGCTATCATCACGTTGGTAAAAATAGCTCATGTTTCATTTGGGAATTGCAATATCTATTTGGAAGAGTCGTTGTTACTTTCCATATACTTGTGTAATGGCACATTCAGTTCATCCAGCAAATCACAGTGAAACGAGAACTGACTCTCTCTATTATCTTTAGTTCTTGTCCTGCTTCTTTGCTCCCACGGTATCTGCGCCTCTGTAACCACCTTTCTATTTCCATCTTGTAGCATTACGTGGAAGAAACCAAGCCTCTGAAATTTACAGTACAGTGACAAAGAAAAAAAAAAACATCTAAAGTACTCCATTCATGTTTTGGGTCATCAAATGGTGGAATTACAAAATGGCATGACAAAATTAGTATCAAGGCTCTGGATTTCAACAAATTAATGTTCATCATAGTGGTTCATAGAACACTTCAAAAAACTACAGTGCCAAGCAAAGTTATCCTTGTTCACATGTTATTATAGCAAACCATAAACTTCAATATATTCGTTTTTGTTTCAGTGTTATAGACCACTGACCACAGAATCATAATTATGTGGAAGAGGGAGCATGCAAAAACCTAATGTTCACAAATATGTCTAAAAAGTGTGGTGTCCATTTGTACTCAGCCCTGTTACTGTAAAAGCTCAGAATAAAAAGCGCAACCAGCTGCTATCAGAAGTCACCTAATTATTAAAGTATATCAATCCAAATATGAGCACAATCTTGTGAAGAGAGGAACAGTAACTCTGCAGCAACAGGTGAGATGGGAGAGTCTGTAGACTAATGCAATCCTCAAATCTGACTGTTACAGGAGAGAGGCAAGAAGAAAAACATAATTAATAAAAGGCTAGAAAATGGTAGTTTGAATCCCAACAGTGCACATCATCCTGAAGACTTTACTAAAACTAAAACTATGGTAATGTTAGAATTTCTCCAGATAATTTTAGACCTTAATCCAATCGTGTTCTTTTACACTCTCCATCCAGAGTGAGAAAGAGATTGAGATATTTTTAAAAAGGAAACTATTTCAGTATCTTCTTTTATGTAATTCATTCCAATGTCCTCCTCCAAGCAATAGACTCAGGTGTGTTGGATATAAATGTAAGTCAAACTATTCACACTATTTTTGTAGCAGAGAATCTTGAAAATTATACACAACTTTTCATACTTTTTCACAATTATGCATTTCTCTCAGTTGACCTATCACGTAAAATCCAAATAAATCTTACTGAATTTTGTGATTTGAATGTGTTGTTTTTTTTTCTGAAAGGGATTGCAGTTCCAAAATGACCCAGCTGGGCTCACAGTTGTTCTCTGCCATCGAAGTGGCTGAGGGGCACAGCAAAAAATGTTCACATTATGTCTAACCTCTTCAGGAAATTCACTTAGTGGAGCATTTCTATCCCCCTGGAAGACAAGTGTTCACGGTACAGTAAGGATAATCGCTCATATCAACTGTGTGCATTATTTATTCAAAGTGAGGCTCCCCTACTGCATGGAGAAGCAGACTGAGACCATGTGGGCAGAAGTGAGAAGAACTGTGTCCCACTCATTGAGGAGGTCACGGGTTCAGCATGTGCAGTTTTCTTAATGTACATCTGCTCACTCAGCTGTCTGATGCTGTCACTACTGTCTCTGTGGAGAAGTGCATATACTGTTTGCAAGGCTGAACTTTCAAGAGCACAATCATGTATGTAGAAAGCAGTTTGTAAAAAGCATGATACAGTCTAACTGTCAAGCATCTGTCAATGGACAGCTTCTTCAGATGGAGATGACTGTATCTCACTTTTCCATTCATACAAAAATGAATCGTTTTTCAATAAGGCATAAACTAAGAGGTCCTCCTGTATGTTGTGATATGTGCATCGCATTTTTAATGTCTGGCTGCAATTACGAATGAATTTTATAATGCAAATGTTGTTTTGTTGTATAAAAGCAGCTGTAAATTTTGCTTTGTGACGGAAGCTCCTGCCATCTGGGTCCAAACAACGTGTGCACTTTCAAAGTTACCTTAATCCTTTTATTTTGCAATTGCTATGCAAAAGAATTGCCTGCATTTTGTCAGTGTTCTCCAGCACTCAATGTAAACTGAACTGAATATGCTCAAAAATACATACTCATTTGAGTCCACTGATAAACAATAAACAGTTTGAGACACACCTGAGCATTGTTCTGTTTGAACTACACCTGAGGCAATAATGAAATTGTTGAAGCAGAATGAGCAACAGAACACCATGTAACAGGCAGCGTGTGTGTGTGAGACGTAAAACAAGCAAGCCCTAAACGTGAGTCTGATTTTAATGATCCCTTCCTCCACTTGACTATAGAGATTATGTTTCTGTGAGAGCCGCGACAAAAGTGCTTATTTCCTCTGATTTATGATAGTACTTGATAAAGCGACATCACTCTGAGTGGCTGATTGATGGCTTCAAGTGCATAACAACCATTTATTTTTCTTTGGTGGACTGTGACTGATTTACAAAAGCACCCTCTGATTTTTCCACTCACAAAACCACAGAGGACTTTTTCCAACTATCTCATTCACAAAGGGAGATTTCTCAAATATCTTATCATTCAGTCTGCCTACACTTGCTATGAGCCAGCATGCACAGATTTAAAGTACAGGTGCCCTTATTCCTCTGTACTCCTGTAAATTAGTTCAAGAATAAGAAACGTAGAATTACTCATTACTGCTTGATGAATGCAGTTAATTTCAAACTTTTGCTTTGATACATTTACGAAATAAAATAAAAAATAAACTTAATAAATTAACTGCTGCACTGTTGGTTTTACTAAAAAAAAGGAAAACATTTCAATAATTTTTTCTCTTTCTTTTAAGTAAGTGACATTGTAAGTTATGTATCCTATTGACTATTAGTGCATAAAGTCATGTTGCTATTTAAAAGAAAATATAAAAATTGAATCTAAAAATTTCTAATTCATAGCGTCTCTTATTCAGCGGACAAATGTTGTATTTTCATTTTTCTTTTTCTGGGGGGTTATCCTTCATTTTGGGACAGGTGGTCTATAAAAATCACAAATTTTAAATTTTCTGGCGTTTAAATGTTTTTTCTTTTTGATCATGACACTACCCATAAGTTGTGTTTTTCCTATCCATTCCCATGTTCAAATATTTAAAATGTAGCCACTCATGCTAATAAACAACTTGCATCAGCAAATTAAAATGTTCTCTTCACAGCACCCTCTGTGTTTTGAAGTTAATTAATAAAATATAATTTCATGCATGTTGCACTTGTAGGAAAAATTTGATCTTGAGGCTAATCAAACTGACATGGTCCACTTCCATTAATGACACTAGTGCTGCAGCTGATGAACCAGTTGGATGCTAATGAGGGTAAGAATCAATTACATACCCTTTTGGGCCCAAAGAGGTTATGGTATAGTGTTCTGAATCTCTTCCTGGTGTAGTTGCATCGATACGCCCCACCCATGAGGTATTCAATGACCAGTCCAATGTCGATGAGGCTGATGCGGTAGTCCGGCGGCAGGTTTCCCTATAAACCAGAGCGTGTTAACAACCAACATCAAATGATTAACAAAGGTAGGGAAACCAGTGGGCAGAAATGAGCCACTGTCATACACACTCACAAACACAAAATCCATGTCAAATTGTTTGTGGCTACAAAGGAAAACGTGATCATCAGATTCACCTTGAAGTAGATCCAACTGAACCCTGGATATTCTCGCTTGGAAAAAACACACAATGTCAGTGAGTAAACCGCACGATAAGCAAGAGCAGCGGAAATGAGGGACACAGAAACTCAGGCAGGATCTCTCTTCCAGTCTTTAGAAAACCTCTGAGTCTCAACAAGACTTTGCCTCCATTTAGCCACTATTTTGAAGGTTTGATTCAGTTTGAATGTCAATTTCAGCCTGAAGATTTTCAGAATGGGACTCTGATGGCACACAAGATGTGAAACACTTTGGAGCCATTTGACTTATAGTGCAATATTTGAGAGCAATCCCAATAAAAATAGATAGTTTTCATAATTTTATTCAGAAGAGTAAAGAGATCTTCTATGAGATTAAATATTGTACTGTGACTCATTAGCCTGGAAGAGAGTTGCAGTAGGAGCATGGAGCTATATGCGGCTATTGAAGCTTGAGGGGAGAGTTAATATTGAAACAGGAGTTTATTCATGTGACTGATGTCAATACTCTTTGCTCCTCATCATGCCATCAACCTCAGCCTTAGACCCTGCAGTTATTACCCTGGCCCTCACTGCTCCTCGGAGACACACCACTTGTCTGACATGTTTAAAATCAACTGTGACGCCACCGCTGCCCTTCTGCTTCTGCAATAGGCCTGAGAGAGATCCAAGAAATCTTCTCACTTCAACTCTTTCATTTCTAATGTCCTAAATGTGTGAAGTAAAAACACTAATTCAAGTGTTGCTTTTATAGACTTTCATGGAATAACAGCCTAATCAATAACATTTTGTCAGCTGTTTGAGTCAATTACCCACAGATCATCTTCAGTACAGAATGGCTCAGTGAGCATCTATTTGACCAAAAGAAGAAACTCGGACATATTGTTATAAGCTTTTTGCCTGCTAGTGACCTCCACCGCTCTTTTACTTGCATGTGACTAATGTGTTATTAATTTATTACGTTTAATTTAAGTCTCAGAAGTCTACTCTGACATTGAAAACTTTTCAAATGTGTAAACTTTAGAAAATGTACATTTACTGTGGCTGTATTTATTCAGAAGAGAATGAACTTATGTGGTTACATAATAATCACTAATGAGGCAGTTACTGGAACCCCTAACCAAACAAGAAAGCTACCCAACACATTTCTGGATTTTACCCTTAACATGTTTAAATTGACCAGATCATCAAAAAAAACTTGTAGTTTTTTTTAGCATCGACAAAATGACTCCGTCAGTGTGTTTAGTTGAAATGATTTTTGACAGTATATGTTTATCAGCATAGGGATGACACATATGTGAAATTTCTTCTGTTTCCCCCTAAAGTATCTTAAATACAAAAAATAATGTCAATTTTCTGAAGTTTTATTTTTTGTTGCTTTTTTTAATCAAGCACAGGATGCACCAACTCTACTTCCAATTCTCCGATTGCATAATATGGGTTGTTGTCCTGGATAGCAACTCAGTGAAAAGCAGCAGAAGTTCAAAGAAATACTTTGAATGTCTTCTTTAATAGACATTTTTTTAATTAAAATACAGTACCCAGTGAGCCAAATTTAGTTGAATAGATAAAAAAATATATATAAAACAAATAAAAGATGACAGTGCATTGGCATTGTTTCCATGAATACATCTGTGTGTATGTGACTGAAATGTGATTGAAGGTGATTTGGGCAAACCATGCCTTACATGTTCTCATTGAATAAGCTAAATTCAGATGGGACACATGAAGGAAAAGAGCGTATAAGCTAAATAAAGACTATGACAGGACAATAAGAAACAACTAGAAAATTAAGATGTCTCCATTGTTTGAAGATATTTGGATAGATCAAAGAAAGAGTGAAAGAGATTTTTGCACTTTACTGCATGTGAGCCTCAGGGACCACACTTTTGTGTATGTTGGAGGCTAATTTTATTTGGCAGCCTGACTGAAACCATTCTCTTTAACTATTCTTAACTTTGACTCAGAATTAAACAGCTGAACCTTTTTGCTTCTTAGTTCTCTTGAACAATTCGTCTGTCCTCTGATTGTTTTGGTTTAACTTGCCTTTGTCAGTGGTTATCTATCCTCAGTATATCATGGCTGTGATTTTCTGTTACTCTTTCTACTGCCGAGATTTCCTTTATGAAAATAAGCCCACACTCCAGAAACCTGCATGCCTGCTGCCTTGCAGCTTTCTACTCAGTTTCAACGTAAACTCGCACTTTGAAAAATACACATCTTGTTAGTACAGTGACGCAATCCTCTGAGAATAATGAGGAATAAAAGAGAACAGCAATGACAGAGAGACCTCACCTGAGGGTAGCAGCTAAATCTAATTAGGAACATACTTAAAGCACAGTGACACACAAACACCGTTGAAAGTACACACACACACATTTGCGGGAAAACTATGCCCTGCACTAAAGGGCTGCATGATGAGAATAAAACATAATTGTATTAGTAATGTGGTCTCTTTTATTTTTTATTTTCTACTCAGTAACATCAGCTCAGAGCTCTGCTTCAGACATTGTTTATCTCAAAATTAAAACAGATCATTTTGGCCATTGAGATTTTCCTAAATGTGAACTAAAGTCTCTCTTTTTTGTGTCATTGTAAAAAAATAATGGAAAAAAAAACACATTGAATGATATTTACTTTTTGAGAATCTGTGCAAAATATTATTCAAGAAATTAATGCTCAAATTAATTTAAGACGTTTTAATTCATATCAAATCGATTCAACAGTTTTTAATAAAACAAACCGTGTCCACTGAATTACTCTTGATCACCACTTGGATCATAACCATTTTTCTTCTCACTGTCTGAAATTCAATTAGATTGCAAATTTCAGGTCAGAAAAGGATTACTAAAATTACTTATGTTTGCTAAATTCCACTCATTGATTTTTGCATACATTTCCTTATTGAAGTCATTTTTTCATACTTTTCTTGGGTCATGTGTTTTGGATTTCTTTCCACAAGCTTTTTACAGCATCTTAAAATAGCCATTTTGAGATGTTGCTTCAAAATTTCCACATAATATTCCTTCATCAGGCCACGTATCATGTAAAATCTGCCAGACCTTCCAACAGTAAAACAGTTAAACATCATGATGCTGCCACATCAAAAATCACAGTTGGAATAGTGTTTTCAGACTTTGAAGCTTCCCACTTCCCCCAAAGATAACAGAGGCCATTATGACTATAAGCACCAAAGTTTTTATATCATCAGTACACAGGGCATGTCTCCAAAAATGTGAGTGATTCTCTCTGAGTGCATTTACAAACCAAAATCTGGCTTTTATGTGTTACATTAGGATTAACGGTTTGTTTCTTGCTGAGGCCTTTCAGCTCATGCTGGTAAAATCTTTTCAGTATTATAACACATTTGAAAGCCTATTTTTACAGTTGTTCTTATTTTGGTGTGTGCATTTACTAGCAAATCACACTTCTCTGTGAGACAGACAACCTGTGTTCTCTGAGCGGCATCATGGCTGAACATAAACATGCTGTTCAGTTCAGACTGGCCAGATGTGCCTACAATTAGTTGATCTTAAGTCTACAAAGCATTAAAATAATCATCAGGACCTTCTTAAATTATAGAGAGCTGTTCCCTAAAAATATAAATACAAAAATAAATACTGTAAAGTTGAAATAAATCTGATAAAATCAATGCATGCACTCATGAAATCAAAAAAGAAGAAATAGTCAGATAATAATTACTTTTATAGGCAGCTCATTGTTACAGATTTTAGGAGTTTCTTCCAAATAGTCTTGGATGCTTTTGTTGTCAGACATTTGAAATCTTGTGAAAATGTCAAAGAAAAAAATTGCCAGCATTACCTTTTAAAACTACATTTTTTGCAGCTAGTTTTTTTTTTTGTTTGTTTGTTTTGTTTTCTTCTGGCCTGAAAACATGTAAAGTATCTTCAATTTCTTTTTTTAAACAATATACCATAAAAATAAACAAATAAATACAACTGAAATGTTGAAAATATATATATATATATATATATATATATATATATATATATATATATATATATATATATATATATATATATATATATATATATATATATATATATATATAGATATATATATCTATAGATATATATATATATAGATCTATATATATCTATAGATATATATATATATATATATATATCTATAGATATATATATATAGATATATATATATCTATAGATATATATATATATATATATATAGATATATATATATCTATATATATATATAGATATCTATATCTATATCTATATATATATATCTATAGATATATATATATCTATATATATATATCTATAGATATAGATATATCTATATATATATATATATATATATATATATATATATATATATATATATATATATATATATATAGATATATATATATATCTATAGATATTATATATATATCTATAGATATATATATATATATTTGTTTTGTCTCATAAGGACATTTATTCATTTGATAAAGTATGGATAACTGATTTATTAATAGCAGTACTTATTTATTTATTAATGGTTATTTTTAATTTTACTACTCATTTATTCATTTAATAAATTTTGAATGAAACATTCCTGCATACTAAATAGTTTGAAGATACACTCCTAATGTACATAATCTTCAAACTTTGAATGGAAATAAATGAAAAAAAGAATCTGTCTCATCCTAGCATTTAACATATTGCGATATCTAACACAAATTTCACTGACCTACAATAGAAAATATTGAATCTGATGTAATATCAGTGACAAAATAAATATGTGTCTTTTGTATGTAAAGCGTATCTTTCCTCGACGTCCACCTTAGCTCCTGTGGATTTAGCAATATGTGATACTTGTGCTGTTTATTTACCCCAGTGGCTTTAAAAAAGCAAACATTCTGAGTCACGAGGGTTGGAAAACGTGCAAAGCTCTACACAGCCAAGGCAGTGCACAAAACCAGCTGAAAGAGAAAAGCTGGCGTCTATTGATGGTAACAGCAGCTAGATCTACAAAATGTATTCACACACAAACATAGACATATACGACATATACAATCACACCACAAATAAGCAGCTGAACCTCTGAAGTCAAACATGTCCAGTGAACAATATTAGCATCCAATGAGCCTGAGCAGCTACAGAGCTACTGAAACGGCAGTGACCGGCGTACCTTTTTGACATCTCTGACAAGGTGGTAAAGGGTGTTTGATGGTCCGTGTCGCTGTTAAAAAATAGAAAAAAAGTTGCTATGGCAAGAATTTGTAAAAAAAAAAAATGTGGTGACACTATTTCATTTCCTCCTATTATCATACCGTGTTATACAGCTCCTCCAGTCTGGAAAGCGTGAGAAAGCGGTGCATGCTGACACCATTTTCAATCAGCAGCTTGACAAAGTCCACTCTGTCCAAAACCAAAGCATCCAGCATCGCCTGTTCCAGGGAACCCACCTACACAGAGTGAAGAACCCAAAAAAACATCTGGTATGACATGATAACTGCATAAAGTGGCTTGTTTTTTATCCTTTAAGTAAGTCATATTGATCTTTTTTTGTTGTTTTGTAATTTAAGTAAAGAATATTAAAAATAAAAGCAGAAAAACGTTTTTATTTAAATAATGTATGTTTAGTGACTTAAAAACTTGAACGTCAATATGAGTGAAAATTATTTGGAAGCACTGCACAGAGCCAAAAATGTTCATGCATTTATTGCTTCTTACAGGCCACTGCTGTCCATAAATGAAGATCTGACTTCGTGCAATGTCCACTCTGTTCCACGCAAGAGCCAAACTCAGCTGGTCTGGGGCTGAAGCATTGGCACCTGGTGTAGGAAACAACGGCATGGTCATAAGCATTTATCCTGATAAAGAAACAGATTGAGGAAAGAAAAATATTTTGCAGGTTATGTTGATATACGTATGTAGTCATATCCAAATTTTCCCATATTAACAATAAACCCCAAATGTTGCATTTATATAATATTCCATAGAGTCAGAGTTGTGTGTATTTATCAGTCTGTTTATTTTGCTGCTGTGATATTGCTAAAGTAAATGGACTGTGTTTGAGAAATCATCTCCGATACAAACATGAATCATACCATTATGAGCAGGTGGAAAATAGCCTGATTTAGGTAGATGTCAAAGGTCACTAATGTCGGTTTTTGACATAGCATCTCATCCAGAGATATTATGAATCTGTCTGCTTCTTTGATCAATGCTTTCTCATCTGGCCTGTCTGTTGAAGTGGCTTGCAGTTATGCTCTTTATTTTTCAAAAGATGGTTTGCAGTGTTTTTAAAAACTTTAAAAGCTTAGGACATTGCTATAAAATCCTACTTTAAACTTCTCCTAAACCTTATCACCTGTTGACGTCTCTTGTGAGTATAATGTTATTTGTTCAGTTGGCTGCAATGGAAGGGGGCTGAATAAAGGTGCACTTTTAACTTTTCATATGTTCATTCATAAATCCTTTTTATCTTTTTAACATGAAAATCTTGTAACATTTTCCTGGCATCTCACAATTACAAATTGAAATAAGAAATATGTAAATATAGACATAGAAGTTGAAAAAAATCCATGGGAATGATTTTGCAAGGCTTTGGGGGAATAAGGGCTTAGAATAACACAGTGAAACCATCGCTGCTTCACTGTGTTTCTGGCTCACTTAAGTCCCCATTAACCAAAACCACAATTTGGTGTTCTTGTTAAAACTTACAACCCCACTGCAAGGAAATCTAAGAAAACCACTGTAACGCAACAGTGGTTGATTTTTAATGAGCACACCAACATTATCACTTCACACAATGCTTTCCCTGTGGCTTAAATGTCTGAGCAGATTTACTGGAGCTTATTGGTACAAGTTCAGACACAGTTCCACTAATAAGATGCAACACCTACTAATAAGCGCTTTAGCGGAGATATGTCTATGTTAAAAACCACTGTGACTGTGCTGCTTTATCAGCACAGTCACATTCTCATTGTGTCTCCCATGGGGTTCTGAGCTGCAGTGAATTAATTTTACGTACTCAGTCCTCAGGATGCAGCCAAACAGTCAGCCATCAATCACACCTGTAAGTTACACAATGAGTCCTTCCAATTCTTCTCTTTTCCCACTTCCCTTAATCACTCAATCTCTCACACACATGCTAAACTCAAATAATTTCTCTTACTTTTGGTCTTTTCTCTCCTCAAGTCATGTGTCTGACTCTGTTCTGTGTAGCTGAGCTGCAGGCAGCAGCTTACTACCCCAGCACACAAATCTAATCCAGTGTTTTAGAAAGCACTCATGCAAGATGTGAGGGATTTCATTTTACTCCTCCAATTGACTCCAGTGCAGCAGAACGAGGCTTGCATGTTAATTTTCTGACTGTCACAGTGTTGACCATTAAGTATGTTTTTTAAGCTCTTCTCTTATCTTTAAGTTTCACAATTTATTTAATATAATTTTCCTTTCTTTTCGCTGTCTTTGATCCTCCTTTGCTTGCTCATCTGAATTCCATCCCTGTCACAATTCGCACGAGAGAAAATCAAAAAAGGGATGAAAAGGAGAACAGAAATGATGGCTGGATCAACAGATAATATGAAAAGGATGTGAGTGGAATAAAAGCATGTGTAAACTAAAGGGACAAGAGTAGATAAATTTGGGATGAGCTTAAAAACAGGGAGCGAAAAACGGGCTGTAAAATCATGCACCATCAAAGCTGCATGTAAATTATTTAAAACGTATTCCTCTTTTACACTTTTCTTTTGCAAGCTGCAAGTTTGTGTCTTTTCCTTCTCTGTGGGCTGAAGTGTTTTCCTGAGATAATCAATCATTTGCTCTGAATTGCTCAGCAGCCTCACAGGACCTGCTGCTCCTTTGTGCCCATGCATATGTTTCTACAGTCTGTATTTATGTGCACAAATGTGAGCGTGAAAAGGAATGAGCCGTTGTCCCCGAGGAAACCAGAGAAACCATGGTCAATACAAGCAACTGAATAACAATCAGGAGTATGGATTCCTCAGTGGTGTGTGTGTGTGTGTGTGTGTGTGTGTGTGTGTGTGTGTGTGTGTGTGTGTGTGTGTGTGTGTGTGTGTGTGTGTGTGTGTGTGTGTCCCTGGAAGATATGTGTGAACACATAGCAGTTCAGGTTTAGTTGAACTGTGCACACTTTGATCAACTTTATTTCTACTTTAGAAGTAATTTTCTTAAATGTATAGAATTTATTTAGACCGCTGGTCAAAGTTTTATCTTCCTGAACATCTCTGGATGGAGAAGAAAATACCAAGTGCTCAAATTAGATTATGCATGCTACCTTGTTTGGGTGAAATGACTGGAGCAGACGATCTTGTCTAGATCATGTTCAGTAGAAATGAGTTTTTTATATTTTCTCAAACATTTCTATCCAACCAGTCCAAAATGATTTTCTACTGTGAGTGGATTTGAAGAGTCACTCGGATTATTGTGGTAAATTAGGATTACAGTACTTTTTTTTCAAAATGTCAGAGTAATTTCAGAGATATTTTTATTGTTTCCTTCAAGTAGAGATATATGTAAATATACGATGTTAGTATGTCTCTCAACAAGAGGCACACTAAATAAAAAGCTTTATTTAGTGTGCCTGGCTTTTATAAAGACTTCTGACAGCTTACCTTACTAAAGGCAATCATGTGAATATATTTAAAAGCAAAATATGCTTTCTTGAGTGGCATTGTGGGAAAATAAAAAGATATCAGTTAAGACATCAGTAAGAGAAATGTCTTAGCTGTGTGAGAGTTTGGTTAACTCCTACATGCCTTGAAAGAAAACATAAAAAGCTAGATAACAGAAAGGTCTCTGTTGCACATCCTCAACTAAAATTAAAGTGTTTGGCCATATGCTCATCATTACATTTGGAGAAAACAGTGGAACTCAAAGAACGCTATCCCAACTGTGTCATACGGAGATGGGGGCATTACGTGTGTGTTCTGCTGCAGAAGGTAATGGTGTAAAGTCATGAAGGGGAAACAGAGAGCTCATCAGTTATAGTCGTCTTGCTCTGAGGATTTTTGGATTTTTTTCCAAAGTACCTCTAGACCTCATAAAAATGTAGTTTTTAAACAAAAACAGAAAACGAATGCATTCTTCAGAAGAGACTTTTCCGACTTGCGGCCATGTCTTCCTATAATCATTTATCTCAATGACCGGCTGATATCTGGTGATTATACAGGAGTTATTTATTTATTAATTTTTATCTCACACCAAAACCACAGAAAATTTAATTCACTACAAGCTTCCCTCCATTCTGGTTGCTGAAAGACTCCTAAAGCTGAAGTAGTTGCACATCAGTCTATACATCATTAGACGTGTATTTTTATTCCAAGAACCTGAGATGTTCTTGGAATAAAAATAAATTTTTCTGGACATTTTTTTTATATTGTCCTTTGCTTTCCACCATAAACCAGAAATTTTTCAGTCAGTGATCACATCTGGTATTTATTTAACCGCTCTTTCTTTATGTTTTCAGTTTTTTAACCTCACCCTCTTTGCTTGGTTCACAGTTCAATTTAACAGGTTACAGGTGTAAGAGTTCACAGACTATTCATGCTGGTTTCATTTTCACATCTCAAAATCTTGGCATTTTACCAAGGATGTTTAAGCTTTTATGTCAAATTAATTGTTCACTTTAGCTACATGCTGAGAAGGCCAGCAGCTTTCTTTCCAAATAAAGCTCCACCTTGGGGATAAAAGGCTTTTGAGCAAATGCCTCTTCAAAAAATTCGGAGTGCAATTAGAACACTTCTGAAAAAGAGAGAAAAATTCTACGATAAAAAATGTACTGCTCAAAAACTTCCAAACATCTAGTGATTGGGGGACACCCTGTAATTGAAGACACTCAAGCTCCAGCACACACACTTACATGCCCTGACCTACCTTTGAGCAATGCAGTGAGGATGGCAAGGTCAATGTCCTGGTGACCCTCAGAGCCCATCCGGAAAACTGTTATCTGAGAGAAAATGAGAAAGACAGAGAGAAATAAACACAAGTAAGTGTCTGTTTTCCACACCAGGAGAAGTGCCAATAAGTGTCTTTCCTCTTGAACCGTCCTATTGTTGCTTCGACAAGTGCACGAAGGCTTACAGCACAAAGAAAATTCAATCACAATAAGGAAGCCAGTGGAGTGCTTTCCTTTGCTGTATTAAACTCTTTCACTAAAAATACTGCTTCTGATGGAGAGAAGAGGAAAAAAGAGAGGAGAGGAGAATTGATTGGGTGTACTGCACAAAACACCGGTCTCTTGTACTGTCTCCAGTCTCCACCGCACTAAAAGACATCACAAAGAAGAAATACAGTCGATTCAATGAGAGGAGGGCATGAGGGGATTTGAGATGAAGAAATCTGAGAAGATGAAAGAAAAGCGTGAAAAAAATTGGGGATAAAATGAATCGGAACTCCTGCTTCTATCCGGCACCATAAACCACTGTTTCTTATTTGGTGAGTGTGTGTGCGTGTGTGTGTGTGTACATATATATATATATATATATATATATATATATATATATATATATGTGTGTATATATATATATATATATATATATGTGTGTATATATATATATATATATATATATAATATATATATATATATATATATATATATATATGTGTATATATATATATATATATATATATATATATATATATATATATATATATATATATATATATATATATATATATATATATATATATATATATATATATATATATATATATAATATATATATATATATATATATATATACACACATATATATATATAAACACGCGTGTGTTTATATATATATATATAAAACACACGCGTGTGTGTGTGTGTGTGTGTGTTTGTGTATTTGTGTGCTGTTTCAGGGATTTTGGGAAAAAAAAAAAATATTTTCCACATCATGTACGCCAAAGCTTCATTTAGCTGGTTTATCCACTGATGCTGTGAAGTCACCTGAGAGGGGAAGCTGAGGAATACCCCAGTTTTTCATGGCTTCTGAAGTCACATTTGTTTGTTACAGTGCTGAGCTGCAACACACTTGCAGCGGCATGCATGCATGTGTGGGCACATGATCCTATGTATGGTTGTGTGAAAGGCACCTTGGGGAAGCTTTGCATGGAAGAATATATGTGTTCTGAATACCTAATGAGCTATTCCTCTAATCCCTACATCCATCCATCTCCTCCCACCTCCATGCCTGCAGCCCCCAGCCCCACCCCCTTTCCTGAATAGCTTCATTTTGTGGAGCTTCAGGAATCTGCACGCTCTGCGTCTGCGATGGTTCCTTCCCTTTGGGACATGCTGCAGTGTTGTGGGTTAAGTCTGTAAACGCGAAGCAGCAGTCGTGTCATTCATCATTTGTACGCCATGTGTATGCTGATGGGATGTGGCTTTGTTTTCTGAAGGAACAGTGACATTTTGGCACCATAAAACCCAGGTGGTAGAATATGAGTGAGTTTTTATATGCATGTGTGTATGTGTGTGTCTATATATACAATACAGCATCGCTTTGCTTGAGTTTAGCAGAGATTAGTCCGATTACAGTGGATATATTAAAGCATAGGTCTTCCCAGTCAGTTTCAGTGTTCATGTGAATGGTGTTGCCTTCTATGCTGCTGCTTTGGTTTCACAACACACTGCAGATCTCTTTTTACACTGTAGACACAGATACAGAAAAATAAATCTTCCTGTTATGAACAAGTGGCACCCTGACAAGAGTTCATGGGAAGCATGTGTGGTTTGACCTCTAAGCTATAAGCCTAAGCATTTTTAGGAATGTTTATGTAACTTTTGCAGTACATATACATGGGTGAAAAAGCCCCCTGTGGGATGATTGAGATGCACCACGCTCATTGTACTTCTCATTTGAAGCAGTAGCTATCACTTTAGAAAAAAAATATACAACTTTAACAACACAAGTTGAACTCATAGGTCAGGGGTTTGCAAAGTTGGTATCTTGCATGTTTTACTTGATCCAAGTGGGTCAACCCACTTGGATCAAATGATGGCTCTTTAGAAGGCCTCTGCAAAAACACTGAAATGCTGAGGAGGTTGCTCCTACCCCGAGGGAGAGAACTAAAACCTGTATGACAGAGGCCATCGAGGACCAACTTTGGATACGCCAGTCATAGGTGTCACTGTTAGGCGTTTCTTTGAAGTGTATGGTTAGCATTTCACAGTGAATGGCACTTTTAGGGAATATTCAGGTGTACTAATATAGAGTCACAACTCAGAAATAATCTTAGTGAGTAAACCCTTCAGCTTTTTCTGCTTCTTTAGCGTCACTTTAACTGAATGCAAAAAGTTAGAAAAATAGGGATATGGAGGATCAAGCAAACTGACACAGTCCACCCACTCTTTATTGGCCGTCCGTCTGTACTGTGGTTTTGTCACCAGACTTCCTTTCAGAGTTAAAAAAAAACTGACTACAAATTTGATATTTTAAAATCCAGGATTTGCACAACAAGCTAAAATAACAGAACACCTCCCACCCCTGACAGAGGCAACATCCTTGTTGGTGTTTGGCATTGTCAGGTCAACAAGGATGAGCATAAAATCCTCATTAGAATGCCACTTCGCGTCTGTTTTATCTGTCCTGACACATAGCGACTTTTAAAGGTTAAACCATGTGCATATATCTTTGTAATATTTTTTTGAGATCAGGGGAACAAAAACAGACAGTTCCAGAGGGATGTAGTTGCTTGCTTACTCATAATTTTTAAGAGAACTTTTGTTCTTCTATGAGTTTTAATTTCTGTCCTGGCTATTTGCCCATTGTTCCTTGTTGTTTTATGATAGCAAATCAGGGAGTTTCCCTACACACGCTTCCTAAAACACACACAGGCACATTGGCAGGGTATAATTGGTTGCCTTCAGGACTAGGATGTAATATTGTGCAGTAGAAGAACAATAATTACAGAAGATGTTCACATTTGGATCTATTTTCAGCTCCCATATATGCCTCTAAACAGACACCTCTATTCCTTTTTATTCCTCCAACCATCTGTTGCAGACACTCATCTCACAGCTCCTCCCACGCAGCCTTACTATTGGACCATCCAGTCCTTTGCCTTTTTTCTGTCTTCGTCGTCACTGTTCAGTTTATGCAATTACACCCTCAAGGTGACCCTTCGGGTACGGTCTACCTGTTATCACAGGGGATGTGCAGCATATCCTCTGTGACATTGCAATTGAGTTGCTTTAATCTCGACAGTCCCCCAGAGACTCACAAATGAAGGGGCGCAAAATGTAAACAGACAGATTTTCTTTTTGTTGTTCTCTGTTTCGTCCAAGACACAGGTGTTGAATAGCAGTTATTGCAAACAAGCAGGTTTACAAATGTTCTGGACAAGAAAAGGTTGCTTCTCTGTTGAACCCGCATGCGTTTCACGTCCACACTGTAATTTCAGTTAAAAACAAACATAGAGAGATAAAGATACAGAAAACCTTCAATAAGATGTGGAAGATGAAGTGAGTAGAAAAAAAGAGGAGGCTTGTTTTAAGCAAAAGAAATAAATCAAGGATGAAGCTGTGACTTTGGACTGGAAAGAACAGCACCATCCTTGTTACGGAGCAGCTTTGCTGGAAGATTTCTGCATCTTCAGCATTGCTAATGTACAAATTTTAAACATGCTGCACAGATTGAACGTCACACTTTACTGGATCAATGTCATTATAAAACATTTATCTTCATTTGACAGTCGAAGAGCCTACTGATCTTGCCACACGTTTACAGACAAATAATGGCCAACATTACACGAGCAAAAACACTTTTCCAGTGCACAGCTCTCCAAATCCTTTTGTGGACAATACTTGGTCAACTCCCACAAATCTCTGGCACTGCAGTCATGTTGAGAACATACGTGTAAAACATTAAAAAATACTTGTCTATTTGCTATGGGAAAAATACTAAACTGTCAAGACTTTTTTCTACTGCACAGTAAACAGAGGGATGCTCCCCTGCCAATAATGAACTGTTCTCTCCTTGGATCTCTGTTTGTGTCTTTATCTCTGCACTGTAGCTCTTTTTATTTTCACTTTTCCTCCATCCCCCAGATCGCAGTCCATTTAAGTCACTCCTACTTTCCTTAATGTTCCTCGAACTCCTTCCTAGTTTCTCTTGTCAGAAAGGTTGAGGAACACCGTGGGCTGGAGAGTTCTCTTCAATATTTAATCCAAATTAAACATATAAGGATGATTCTATGTTAAATTATTTATAGCGCACTCTGAGATGCCAACATGGCCATCTTGTGCTCTCCACCCCCCGCCACTCATAAGGCAGGGGAGCGGGTGAAGAGAGGCGTCAATAGTCCAATAATTGGACAAAAAAAATTGGCTTCCTACATTTTTGGCAGCAGCAGTTGACTGGTAATGCTAAAAGGAGCCCAGTCTTGCAGTCCTGTTTATGCTACATTTTGCAATGAGGTTGGAAATGAAATGTGCCTATGCAGAATCATATTTTTTATTTAACAATCAGCAAAATAGCAAAATAGCAAAACAGAAAAAAAATAAGGCAAGCACTTCAGAATTACATTTCCTGTGGATAATTTTCTCATCACTTATAGGATGCGTAGTTATTTTCCAATGTCACTTCTTAAACAATGTAACAATGTATTTATTTGCTCCTGAAAATCTGCCAAATGAAAACATTATTGGTTGTACAGGTAATAATGAATATCTGGAGCTGCAAAGAGCAATTTGAAGCAAATTAGCTGGAGGGGACAATACATCCTGTCTTCCGTTGGAGCACCTTGGGATCCTCCAACCGAACTGGAGGTTGTTGATGGAGAGAGGGATGTCTAAGGTTACCTGCTTGACCCTTTTGTCTCCCTGTTTTATGAACAGAAAAGCAGACCTTTGACTAGACACACAATGAGATAATCAAAATGAGCAAACCAAGTAAATAGACAAACAAAACAAAATTATCGTAATCAACAATTACAGCTTGCATATTTAACATTATTGATAAATGATCAAAATTAAGCAAAAAATAATAAAAAATATAAAAACATATGGCAGTACTTGCTTTGATCATTGTTAACTTAAAGAGCGACTAATTAATAAACTATTAATAGATCATATGAAAGTTGCCAAAATTAAAATACATGGTGAACTATGCAAGATAACAAACTGATTCAAACATCAACTAAAAGCCAGACCTCTAAAGGCATTTGGCAGCATGGGATTTTATTTAGGGGTGAAAGAGAAATAGATATTCACTTGAAAAAAACCTGAAAAGCCATTTATCATTTTTCTTGAACTCTACAAGTATAGCCGATGCTGCTTTCTCTGTCCTTTTGTATCGAACATCACACAAAATTCTAATAAAATTACAATAAGATAAAGTTTGAGGTTCTAATGAGACAAACGGAGAAAGGGTTGTGGCATATATACTTTGTAAAAAATAATTAAACTACAAATTAAAGCACATTTTTCACAAGATAAAGTATCCAACTCTTTGCAATACTGCCTGCTGACTTTTCGCAACCCATTAAAACACACACATGCGTTTTCTTTTTCAGTATTGGTTTGCACTGCAGCTAGTTTTGTTGCTACCTGACTTTTAGTGCTCATTTTCAATATGACAGTGGTAAACACTCTTGTTAGTTCAGAAACAGGCAGTATCGGATTATCTGAACTTCACAGCTGCGACTGGCAAATGATTCACGCTCTACTGTTCTGCTGCTCTTGTACATGTCGTTCAGAGGCTCTGTCAGTGTGAGCATCAGTCACTTGTTGGAATCCCACAGAGGGTGAAATCAGTCCATTTACATGCTGCACAGCTATGACCAATTCAGGGCAACACAGAAAAGACTGTCTGTGAAAATGTGTGCGTGCTTATTTCATAACATGCTTTTTTTCTGACCTTGTAGGATAGTACTTTTATGAAAGCAGAAGCACAAAAGGGAAGTGCTGACTCAAAATGAATAACAGTGAAGGCTATTACTTTAATGCCGTTTTAAATGCATTTCTTGTGGTTTTAGTGGCTCCACAGGACTCCTGCTTTGCAATTTTGGAAAAAGTTAGATTTTAAGTTCATTTTCATTTTATTAACAGGTAAATGACAAAATCAGTTGGGAAGTCTCTGAGATAGCAGATATTTTCTCTATTTACAAAGACTTGGCTTAAATCAAGCTTGTGCCAAGGCAAAAAAGCAGCAAATACACTAATATTGCTGCAGAGGGAAGACACTGTAAATGCTGCAGGCATTTTATGTACCATAAAAAAACACATCACGTTATTATTTGTGCAAGAACAATGGTGCAATGTGGGTGTGTTAGAAAAATACACAGTACCGCAGTGTGCTGGTTCAGCAGTAGCACCCAAACACAAAACACAATTATGTTTCAGGTGCTTTACAGGAGATAAAGTTGATTCTGATCTAGTTTTTGGTGGAAGGTTGCTCATGTGAGCAGTGAAAGAAATGAAGAACTTCATCCATATCACAGGAAGGCCAAACATGTTTCTTCTTACGATTTCTTGTAGTCCCCATAATGAAACCCCAACAACAACACCGCTTGAATGTGGAGATAAAATGAAATCACATCAAATATCTTATGAATCAACAAAATAAAAGATGTTTTATTCTGCAAACTTAAAAGTTTGCAGCTTCTAAGTATAAAATTTGTAGAAGTATTCATTTAAAGTTGATGAGGTCTTATTGTGTTTTTCTTATTCTCATTGAATTAAAACAAAAGCTGACCACAGTACAATCTAAAACATGCCAGACACCGACCCTGTTTGGATCCGAGTTGCCCAAACCTGGTACAATATACATCTTAAGTAGATGAGCAACATAATTACACACAGTGCGCAACATGACCTGTGTTTTGAGGTAAACACCGCCAAAGGGATACCATGTACAGGGCAGCTTGTTTCAAATGTCATCTGAATGCATTTGCATCTGCTTAACACACATAAAGGACAAAGTAATATCTGTTGTAATCCAAGTTTTACGATAAGAAGGCTTAATTTGTGCGGCTTACTTTGTTACGTGTTGCTACATTTATCCAGCAAACACTACATCAGGGACAATGCCGTGTGCAGGTTAGTGATGTGCGTGATGGCCTGATGTGTGTCAGACTTTGTGTTTTATTATTCCATTGAAGCACAGACCGTTTAACTGGTTTCACTGCATCTGCAGGCATGAATATGCATGTGCTGAGGTGCTGTAAATGTGCCTGTAATGAGCTGGGTTTTGCATGTAGCCACATATAAAGAACCCAAGTGGAAAGGAAAATAACTAACCAGTTCCTTTTTCTTCATGCACTCCATGAGGATGATGAACAGATGTTGGGCCTGTGTGCGGCTGTATGTGAAGGTCTTCTGGATGGTCACCAGCAGCTGGTCTCTAAGAGACTCATTAATTATGCTGTAAAGAGAGGACGGATTGTGAGAAGAGGAAAAATGTGAAAGAACAAAGTCAAATCGATATCTTGAGGAAAACAAGAGTATTAAATTTAATTATTCCTAAATAAAACCAAGGTTGACTGGGACTCTCAAGTCCAAGGTGAAATGTTAAACAAACTAAATATAGAAAGCTGTTGTAGCTGTGGTAGGTGAATTTCTAACTGTTCTTTTATTACTGTATATGTGCAAATGTGAGTGCATACCCTCCTTCCTCTGAGTATTTGTGTCCAAAGGCCAAGATGTCTGAGGCTCTTCCACTACCATCACACACCACCACAGGGACCGGAGGAGTGTCCCTGAGGTACTCCAGCACAATGGAGATCACATTAGGGCCGCCCTCCACGATAAGAGCCACCACTGGTACTCCCTGGCCGATCCCTGCACAGGAGAGGCAAGAGGTGAGGAGTAATTTTACGAAAGGACGAACAGACAGAAACGCATATGGGGGAATACGTCTGCCAGACTAAACCAATTTTTAGAAAAACCTAATAATTTATGAGCAACACGACAAAAAAAAAAAATAAAATAAAATAAAAAATCATTTATTCTACCAAAACACTTTCTTGTTACAGTAGAAAGTTTTTCAGAAACACTTTGTCGTATTCTTCCATAAAGAGTCATATATGTAACAACAATAATACACATTTTTGTTGTGTTAGCAATATTTTTAATAGAAAATACTCACAGACACTAATGTCCAAGAGCAGTCGGATCATGTTGGGATAGCACTAAATACAGCTGCGAACTAAGAAAACTCAGATTCCCTTTGGAACCATTTTTCCTTCTGCATTAGTTTAGCAGTCTGAGCACATTCCATCCTGAGACAGTGAAGGGCCATCCACTGAAATAACACGGCTCCTCTCAAGCAGCAGAGTTGTTACCTGCATGTCTCCCAGCTAAATGCATTCTATAAATCTTATTTCTTTGTTTGTTTTTTTCTTGTAAATTTCAGCACATAATCATAACATGAGCTGTAATGTGGTTTAAATGCTTACTTACTTAATGAGGTGGTGCAGTGTCGTAAAGGTGAGCTGAAAGCTGACAGGTTCAGGCAGCAGTAGGATCTGTGTGAGTTAAGTGTGTGTACGTGTGTGTATGAACTCACTCATTATTTATTATCCTTCACTTCACTCTTACATATCTACCTAAACTACAACATTAAAACTCATCAGGTGTTTTGAAGCAAATATCTCCCCAAACGTGCATACTGTATAAAGTGAATCATAACTTTGCTGATCTCTGTTTAACCACCTCTGAATGTAAGACATAATATTCGCTCATGGAGAGAAGGCTAGAAATGTTTCATTAGAACATCTCAAATAATACCATTTTAAGAGAAATCCAAACTGGCTTGAATCCGTATGTGCACGTCAAAGCTTTACATAGCTGAAAATAATGTTTTCAAGGGCACAGAAAATAATTATTTCATAAATTAAATTAAAACTTAGTGCATTAAAAACATGTAACATTTAGATATAGAGGGTTTTGTCGAAAGCTGTTACTAACTTTAACCTCCTGTCTGTCATTGAATTGTCATTACGCCAGTGAAAGTCCCAAAAGGCATGCAAACAATTGGGTTGATTTCTGTCACTCCTTTCCAGGGACTCAGTGGGTTCGTTCAGTTCTTTAGTTCATATCCCCAACATCTTGCTCCTACCACTTTCTTACCAAATTTTCCCCTCAGCATCCATCCATATTGGACTCCACTCTACCCCTTTCTGCTTCACATGTGCTTGTGTTTTATGCTGCTGGGTTGTCTCTTCTAATTCAAAAGCCGTGTAACTGCCTCATCTTCCCCTTATGCACTCTCGTCCTCGTCTGCATAATTCACAGAAGAGAGGCAGCACCAGCCCACAAATTCATGCCTACTGTATGCAGCACACACTGGGGCATGCAAGCGCTTCTTTTCGGGATTGCACCCACGAATGTGCAGCGCCTCACACAGCCTTGTGTGGCCTTGCAACAGGGACAGTTACATAAGGAGAATATTTTAGGGGTCTTGCCTACTTCAAAGAGGTACCGCGTCACTGTGCCATTCCACATCACACAGCCGTACATCAACAGGGGAGAACGCGAATGAGCGGCAAAGTGGTGACTTGCGTTTTCCAAAAATCGATTTCCCATTTGCTTTGGTTGTCTATTTTTCCTGTTCTTTCCTGCATTCATGTTTGCATGTGAGGCTGCAGCTGTGTGAGATCAAACATTGACATTGATATTGATGACTTTGGAGCGTTGGAGGCGATGTTGTAGTTGCTAAAGTGGATTTTTGTTCAACTGAAACCACCAAGGAGCAGATGAGGAGAAGAAAGCACAGCTGTGGCATGGCTAATTGGGAAAAGGAAACTGCCTGAATGCATGCAAACACACACACATGCATGCAGATGCGCGCGCCAAACATGCAAACACACATGCAGATATGAGCAAATTTACAGTCATAGAAATATTGAAAAACACTAAATTTAGAGCTACTGCAATACTTTCAGTTGAAGCCACCTTTTAATTGATACCCACAAGCTTCATAATTTAATTATCTATGTAGAACATTAGACATTTCCATTAAATGATATCTGAAAAACACAGAAAAGTGAATGATTGTTTTTGCGAGCCATATTGCCGCACTTCTCAAACTTGACTGAACCTGACTCACTGACTGCCAGCTGCTCATCTCTCAAGCATTGTTCTGCTCTAAAAAAAAAAAGCATGAAACTGTTTTCCAAATCTCATCTGCTTCGTAACATCCTCAGAAAACCCTTAATTCACTGTAAAAAACAAACTGGTTACAAATTAAATCTTGCTCAAAGTCTGGCCAGCTCAAAACTGTTGGTGCTTAGCAATATTTTCGAAGGCACTCCTGAGTCCAGTGGGTATTACAGTAAAAAGCAAGTTTGATTGATTGAAAGAAAAACAAACCAATTACAGTAAGTTCTCAGATCTGGAAAGCACAAAGAGTCCAGTGAGACTTGTTTTCTAGTTGGCTTGTAAAGAACTGATTTCTGAAAAGATCATAAATTGTGAATCAAAATTTTCTTCAAGTTAAATTCTTGCCTTACATGAGGAGACACAAGTTGCTGTTAAATATTACTGCGGTAAGATCAAATACTGATCTTCCCTGCCCATAAGGTTTTACTTATCTGGTTGGATTTCTCTCACAATAGTGAGAAACTGATGCCAGTTGTCAGATTTGTTTTGCAGAAAATAGTTGGTTGGATATTCTACCTTCAAATTTTCCCAAGGTCCAAATTTTCCTTGTGAGACCCCATGCGGAAGACAAAAAATCCTTTTAACACATAATTACTACTACACGCTCTTTTTGATTATGCTGTATCGACACACAATCAAAAAACTTTTATTCATTTTGTTGGTCTGATATCTCCCTGAAAATAAATCTCAATGTGTTTTCAAACAGAAGACAAGCAGCAAATGATTGGCCTAAAGGCAGAGATAAAACATTTCAAATAGCCATGTCTCATCATCTCACCATCTAGACTTTCATTAGCCCCTAATTCCTCTAGAATGGCTAATTGTTGAACAACTAATCTAGTTATGGTATGAAACTACCAAGTCTTCTTGTCGTTGGCTTGACTCATTATTGTTCAAAGTGTTACTGTTTTGCATTTAATAACAAGAGGTTTCATTTTTCTTCACATCTCACTCACAAAAGCAATCCCCAGACCTATAAGGCTTCTTTGTAAAGTGTTCAGAATTTATGGCCAAGTGCTGCTGTGGATGACTAGCATCTCCCATGGTGGCAATGAACACAGATTGCCTAAACACAGCAGCCCACGACTGCCAACAATAAATTTAGCATTCAGAAATATTATTTCCCAGATGTATTAACAGCTTAACAGACTGTACGCTATGATGCTGATGAGAATTTTTACCAAAGAAATCTGACAGAACAGAGACATTTTGGTGTGAGTCAAGATGTTTTTCACCATTTGAATGTCTGCTGAAGTAACCTACAAAAAAATATGTCTTTTATCAAGTGCGCGTTTTGTCTAACAGTGTCTTGTTTTGTGTCAAAGAGATTGTATAAAAATAATCATGGATACAGTCTGTATATATTGTTATAGTTTTTGCTTGTTTAATGGCATTGGAAATACATATATGAAGTGTTTTGGTTGTGTTTGTAATTTCTGAGCAGCATGGCAGTGGGGTTAGCACTGTCGTCTCACAATATTGAGGTCAAGAAGTCCTGGTTTTAAGGCCTTGGCTGGAGGCTTTCTGTGTGGAGTTACCATGTTCTCCACATGGATCCACGGGTTTTCTGCAGGTCCTCTGGCGAGTTTCCATGAAGAGATTTTCTACCTCTGAATTCCCTTTAAGTGAAAGAGTTCCCATGAATACTCACTCTCTCTGTAATGGACTGGATCCGTCCAGAAAGTAACTGCCTCTTGGCCAATGACTGACCAGAGATGCTCCAGCTATTCCATTCAGCCCAGTAAGCTGAGGCTAAAATTGTCTAAAGAAATTCATGAAACAATACACTCATGAAGAGCTTTTGTTCTGTAAGAAATGTGCTTTATGTAACCAAAAATGAGTCAATTGTGAAACATGAACCTACATGCAGATACTTTGTATTTAATGATCTGTAGTCTTGGATTGACATAGAAGTGGCCAAATGTTTAGACTGAGACTCAAATGCTCAACATTTGTATTGATTTAATGTGAATTATGTCATAAAGATTATTTAATAACAAAAAAGAAGTTCTTTGATGCAGTAAATCAGGGAAGAGAAGGCCCAATCACATATTGAATACATAGAAATGAACATACTTTCCACAAGCCTGGCAGTTGTACTTAAAACATCTGTTTTTGGGTTGGTCTAATGCGATCTTTAATTTTCTGAGCTACTAAATTTTGTGTCTTCATCGTCTGCAATCCATAATCACCCAAATTACAAGAAAGGCTTGGAATATATCTCTCTATGTGTGATGATTATATCAATATAATGTATGAGTTTCACTTTGAGATGACTTTAAGATGATTTAAATACCTGGCTCCAACTGTATGTGATGTATATACCCTTCCAGAATATGATTTCCAGGAAACAGTGATTATTTTTAATGTTCTACTCTGTACAGAAACATATTCTGCATCTTTTGCGTGTCTAAAATCAGCAAAAGTGTGAATTTTGTTTATTCCAAACCTAAACTGCTGAGAAACTACATTTCTTAAATCTATTACTTTCCATTTCTCATAAGAAAAGAAAAAAAACTGGAAACATAATTTCTTTAATTCTTGCTGTTGAGAACTGTGACAGAAATATGTAAGTTGCTCTACTGCACATCCTCTGTTAAGGTTTCTTTAAATGCTAAATGTCTAAAAAGGTGGATGCTCTTAAGAAAAGGTTGAAAGTAGTTCAAGCTTATAAATGT